GTGTTATTTCTATTGTGGTGACATTAAATACTTTGTTAGTAATAAACAGAACACCCTTTGGGAGCTAAAATAAATTGGTTCTCTCACTGATTTCAAGAAAAACATTTGGATACTAAATTAATGTTTTCAGGCTAAATAAATAATGTCATAGCAATTTGTGTGGAAACCATATATTATCAGGCATTTAAAACATTTACAAAAGCATAAAGCCAGTTCAAGTAAAGGTAATATTTGATCTGTGATGTGTTCATTTGAATATTATATTTTTTATTATATTATGTTATAGTATATGAAATTATATTCGATTATATTATATTAGGTTATATTAGATTTATATTGTGGATTTTCACCTGTTTTAAAAATCTGTTTAGTTGGTGTTTGCTTTGTGAAGAGCTGTCCACGGTTCTGAACATAAGCTGTGCGCGGCTCTGTGGTTATGCATGGGGAGGTGGCTTTGTAGTCAGTCACTAACCTGCTTAACCTACTTTCTACTGACCGGTCTTTCATCTGTCCACGGGGTGGAAAGTGCTGTAGGATAAATATAGCATACTTAACAACTCACACAGCTCCAGCTACAGCTTCAGCTTCAGCGTCAGTCTTTCAAGAAATGCAAACTGTATATTGCTTCTCTGTCTCGCTGTATCTCTTTCTTCAATGCACCACAAATCATTTCACTAATGAAATCCAGCTTCTGTCTGAACATAAGCTCTCCATGTTCCTCCCATTAACCCAACTGGTTGAAAATGTGTTGGGATGTGCATGAACCTTTATTGAGATGAATATGACCAAAATAATGACATTTTAAGATCTTAATTGTCCAATTACGTGGGCAGCTGTTGTGCTGTATTGCATTGCCAGTTCAATTGCAGTTTCCTAGCAACCAGCGAGGTACAATGCAATGATTTTTCTGTTAAGTGGCATCGTTCCCTCTTAGCAAGACTCGGCAGTGTCTTTATAAAACAAATCATATTTTCCAAGGTTTGTTTGCAACTTTGCCTTTATGTTAGTGCTGCTTTATTTTTTGTAACATTGCTTTGCAGCGTGAACAATTTGAGATGTGTTTGTGTGTAGGTCTTACGACAGGACATGTTCATATTTAGACGTGCATGTTTTACATGTGCATCCCAATATCCCCGAGGCACATAAACTAAATAGATGTGGCGCTGCTAACGTAATTGTTGCAGTTGATTAATTTTTGTCCAATATGCCCTGTCCTGAGCTAATCATTGTACACACATTCTTTTCAATTAATTCATTATCAAGGGAGTTGAGGAGAGGAAAGAGGTGGTGGGAGGGTTGGGGGAGGGGAGAGAAGAGTCAGGGGAAAACATAAAATCCAATCCTGCTGGTCCAAAGTCTCAGAGCAATGGAGCATTAGTCTCATCCTGATGTAATTGGAATGACACCAAGAGTAAAGCCTGCTGATTTAGGGACAGCCTCTAGGCTTGATTTAATACCCTCTACCAAAACTATGCATCCATCTTTTTATCTTTTTTTCATTCAGCATCCCAGGCCCTCGCTCTTTCCTAAATCCCTCCCCCACCCTTTCTCGTGCTCCTCTCATTCACCTACTGCCATGTATCTCCATCTGTAACCTATTAATGCAGCAGTAGCTGGGTTTTTATAATATTCAAAGCCTGGAGGTTATAGAAAAAAACGATTCTCTCGAAAATAGGGTCTGTATTTTCCATTCCATTTACTCCTAGTGGCATTTACATGCTTGAATAGGTGTTTTACTACAACAGAGGTTATGTTTTAATATTGAATGGCCATCTCCAGAGAAAACCATAAAGAAAGGGCAGAATAAGAAAGTCTCTACAGGCCAGGGTGCTGCCTCTCTGGGGTTTGCTGCTCTTCAGTCGTCCGACAGATGGACTACCAGGGCAATCCTATTACCCCCATGTGTTTAGCTTCTCTTAATTCCAGGGTGGGATGCCTGGCTAATGGAAGGTAATGAAGGTTTGTCGTGAGAATCTCATGCTACTTTACGATTATCATCCTGATTTGTCTGATAACAGATAATGTAAAACTGGTGGACTGGGACGAAAAAAAGAGAACAACAGCTTTCCATCTTCATTTGTTTTAAAAGCCATCCGGTGTCCTCACTTCACTTTTTATGTGCAAGTCAAATGAAATTGGCGGCCCACTATCAGCGATGCAACCTTCGGTTTAGAGCAGGGTTGGTCAGACAGACGCATTCTGTTCCAAACCCTGAAGGCAGAGTTGTGAGCATTTATGAGAAGAATTTCTCAGATTTTTCTCATATCTCATTAATGGTCAGGGTGTGGATGTGTCTGAACAAGTTTTGGATACATATATATATTTTTTTCTTTTTCACAGATGTTTATAGATTTCCATAGAACAGATATTTCTGGTGGCAGAGTAACTTCAAATGTTGTGGCAAATCTTGTTAATATTTGTGTAGGCTTATAGTACAATATTAATGCAAAAACTAGCTGACAATTGATTTGATAATCAGACCTGTTTGACAAAGAAATTATTTATTCAAATTTCATAAACATGACAACCCTGAATGTCAGAAAACACTCTACTTGCTGTCCCACTGTTGTGGGTATTGGTGCATTATTAATGTTTATTTTGGCATGAAGAGGAACCCAAATGTTATTAATTCATTATGTGCTTTAATACTTTCCACATTGCAATATATATGAAGACAATGGAGATTGGAGCGTACATATTTAATACTCGCTGTTCATTGATTTAGGAAGAATATTTCACTGTGATGTATTTCCCACATGCAGTTCTTCCTCAAAATATAATTGACAGTACGGGCTTAACCAAATGTCTAATTTATGTCCCATAATCTTGCATTTGTTGGATTAATTGGATGAAGTAGTCAATATCTTAATGTATTTAAACTTGTCGTTACTGCATGATCAATATACTATTGACAGCAGCCTTGAGATATGAGGTTGTTGCACTGAAGGTGTAGCAGTGTCACTGTGCTACACAGCTCTGCGTACTCTGTCTAAAGCTTTTCTTCAGCTTGAGTACAGTGTCTATACTGCCTGTGAGCCTGCACCAGCATCCCCAGGTCAAGCAATTACCACACATCAGGCAAAGCAATTGGGCATGACTAAAATATCATTGCCATGTGATGGTCTCCCCACGTTAGATGCTGCCACAGCCTAATCTAACCTAGTTTGTCTATATGATCGAGAAGAATTGAGGACACGCTCTCCAATTCCGGTGGCCCCCGGAGCATTTCCTGCAAGTCTGACGCACGGCAGCTGGGCCAGAGATGCACCGTCACTGGTTTTTGGACCCAGTGGAAAGGGAGATGGGGTGTAATGAGCGAGAGAAGCGAGTTAACAGAGGAGAACAAGCGAGTCGCAGAGGGTAGATAAATGTGAGGCTCTCAGAATACGTGTGGCGTATGTGTGATCAGCTGGGATGTCACTTGAGATTGCATTTTGGAGCTTTTGGGGTGTGTATGGACGCACAAAGACACGGTAAAAGGCGAGGAGGTAGACACTGGATGGGATTAGCAAGGCAGCATTGATCCAGTCTTTGGGTTTAAAGCAGGATTTCATACCGAGCATTTCATTATGCATTCAGATATATTCTGTGCCTTTATACTGCCACCCCTGCCCTTCATCTCTGCCTCATAACCCCCCCCCCCCAACTCAAAATCTGACAGAACCCACACTCTGATCCATGTGGCTTCAATCTAACAAACCCATTGTTTTTCACTTTCAATTTCAGCTGGGCTGCTCAGCTGTAACTTAGCCAAAGTCTTTGTGTGTTCCTTTTGTCTTCTTAAATCCTGTTTAAATATTGATAGAGATGCGAAACACAGCTGACCGCTCAGTTAGATCTAAGAGGGTCAAGGATGGCAGCATTTCTCTGCACATTTCATTAGAGGAGCAGAGGAGTGTAAATACAGAGACACGGGAATCGCAGGTTAACGCTCCAAACCTTCATCATCCCCCTGCATGGATAATGCCCTGTAATATATTCCAATGAAACCGGAGGTTGGAGGGTGATGGGGTGTAAAAAAGCATCTGTAGAAAGGCCATGTTTTTTTTCTGTTTTTTTTTTTTCTTTCTTTCCTTTTTTTTGTACTTGCAGCATACCTCCCTGACAGTCAGATCCCCATTAGGGGAGAAGCAGAGGGCTGGGTGTGCAAACGGTTCCCGTGGATTAGACTATTAATGCATTTAGGAGAGGGGGCTCCGCAATCTCTTGATTACTGCTGCTGCTGTGATGTGTGTGCTGGGGCTCACGCGGGGAAGATATCCAGTCCCTTTGTGGAAACAGAGAGATTTAGCGTAAAGTGAGTTGATAATAGCAGAGATGCACTGTGCACTGATACAGCCCCCCCCACACACCACACATGCACACACACGCGCACACACACACACTCATTAAAGATTAAGGATTGACCAAGGAAGCTGGCTGTGTGTTGGGTTGTTAAACTTGGCATGGAAATTAGATCTTTCCACAAAGAGGTGCAGATGGACGCCTTAATAATCTAAGAAATGTCTGGATTTTCTAAAATGTTATTTTTTTTATTTCTGGCTCTGTTTTCTCCCGAGACCTCTTTGACCTATATCATCCTCTCTCTAGACATCTCTCCTTTGTGTCCTTTTGCCCTGGTATCTTGGAATCTGAAGTCGATGCCCTCTGGCTGCGTGTCCATATTGTGCACTTGTTATAACATATCTTGTAAAGCCCCTGTTGGCCTCCTCTGGCATGAATTGCAACAGTCCGGGATGTTTCCGTCGCAGAGAGAGAGAGAGAGAGAGAAGCCATAAAAACAGGGTTCACCCCCTTAAATCTGCTCTGACAATGAGAGAAATCCACCCGGCTTACCCACCAGCAGGTCATAAAATATGCTTCACATGCATGAAAGCAGTAGGTGTTCATCAGACAGTGAGTGGGGTTATTTTTTTTAAAGTCTTTCCTTAAGTGGAGGAGGCTTCCACAGAGTGTAACATTTACTGCTTGTGGATTTTTTTTTTTTTTTTTTTTTTTTAAAGAGCCAGCAGCCAGGCAGCAGGGAGGGGCGCTCCTCTGCTGAGGCACAGCAACAGAATCATCATCAGAACAGGCAGCAGCTCACTGGGTAAACAGACAGAGTCTCCAGCCCTGCGCTAAACTGCACAGTGAGTCAGCTGAGCACCCGGGGACCCCAACGTGCCGACCAGCCTCGATGAATGAATCCATGAATTCATGAGTGAATCTGTCTGCTCGTTTTTTTTTTCTTTTTGGAGGCTGGGGGGTGGACCAGAAGAGGCGAGGATGCAACTCTGGAGAGTCTGACACGAACACGCTGAAGTATCGGAGCGGGCGTGTTGACGCATAATCCCGCCCGCCCCGCTGGCTCTGGGAGGAGGAGGAGGGGGGGGGGAATCTACCCTGCCTAAACTCAAATCCTCCAGAAGAGATTTACGGAGCTGCCGCTGCGGGTTCAGCTTTCTGCACGACGCAACGCTCCCTCTCATTTTGCGACCACCTGTGCAGGCTCCGAGGGGATAACGGATGGATTTTAGCATCGCTGGAATACGCACTTGTCGATCATTCAAGGCAGAGGACAAATCGGTCTATAATAATTAGGCTATAAAAGAGGAGTGTGGGTGGGGGGGGGGGGCGAAAGAGCGGAGTGGAAAGGAGCGCGTCAGTGCGCCGCGGACGGTGTGGCCGGAGAGGAGTGGACAGGACCCTTGTCCGAGCATCGTCCCCATCACAGGTGTCTTCATCTCGACTGTGCGCCGATTCCGCCGGAGACCCTGGAGCCATGAGCGGCCCCCCGCCGGTGCCCCGGCCCGCCTGCTGACCGCGCCGGGCAGGATGGGCGCCCGTCTGCCGCTTTCAGCATCCCGAATTCAGCCGATTCATCAATGGAGGAGGAGAGCGACACCCGGAAAATTAACAACAGCTTCCTGCGCGACCACAACTATGCAACCGAAGGTACCTTATAGCGTGTTTGATGGAAGGGTGTGAAGAAGCTGAAGCTTTAGGCATAGAGTGTCACCCATCAGCTGTAAGTCACTTCGACTGCTAAATGACACAGCAAGTGGGATGTAGGGTTCTAAAAATGGCCTGGGTGATGAGGATCTTTCCCACCCTTTATCATAAGCTTCAAAGTTATTATTTTTGGTCATTTTGTTTGTACATTTTCCCTCCTTAGACTCACCATAGTCTTCATTGGGGATATTAAAACAGTATGATTATTAAACATCGCGCTCGTTGTCTGCTGGGGAAGGCTCCAGTCCCCTGGGGGAATAGCCGGTATAGAAAATGGATGCATGGGTTATTAGACTTACATGTGGTGTGAATCAGTAGACACGATGAGGCGGCCTCCTATAGCCTATACCTGCTACTTTAGAATGACCAAAGAAAATCTGGGCATTATGGACAAGGAGGGATTAAAGCAGCCTCTACAGCTGTCCCTGTAATCTGTGTGTGATGCAGTTTGGAAATGAAAAGAAAGTGTGTCTCCTCACTCAGTTGTTGAAAGGAATAGACAGAGGTAGGGACGATGCCCTCATTCTGGGAGGTAGCACAATATGGATGTTTCCTTTTCACAGACACACACATTTTTACCACACATGCCCACAAACCCAGCATGGAACAATAGCTGTTTTCTTCTCAACAAACCGTTCTCCCTTCTCTTTGATCATGTATTAGCGTTCTGATGATTAACCCACTAAAAAAAAAAATTCTCTTTGGATTTTTTTGTTTCACCATCACTTTCTAATTTTTCTTAAAACCTACTTTAAACGACAACATCAAATAAAGATCTACAGGTGAAAACTATTTGAGGCTCTCATTATCACCACTTTGCAGATTGCTTGTTGGCAGTAAGGTGCCATATGGTTCTAAGTGGAATATTAAACCATTATGGACTGAGCTGCAGTTGTGAACAAACAGACAGAGACACGATGACATGCCATGATACTATCATTTAATCTTGATATGCAGTGGATCCCTTTAAATACCAACATTTGCATATGAATACATAGCATACACATATGGCCTTTTCCCCATAGAAAAAAACACCATCTTCAGTTTCCATGTGCATGAGCGGACATCTGCCATCAGCCATTCATTTTTCTGCTCAAAAGATATTTTTCATAGTGCACACTGTTTTATTTACTATATTTATTCTCAAACTTGTGAATGTATTTAAAGTCTCAGCAGTACTCCTTCCCTTCACACATAGAGTTACCACCAGGCTCAGAAAGAAACACACTAGAGAACTATTTTCAAATTAAATTGGACTGTTCTCCACATATTTGCAGCAATGGAATATCATTATGCATCCATCATCTGAATACTAGAGTAGAAAGGAATAGAGGGTATGAGTGGCTGCAGGGTGGGTCAGAGCCCCCACAGCTTCTTTTCTTTGCTCTAAGCTCAGGTTACAGATGCCTCTGCAGGCTGGAGGAGAGACAAAGTCAAGGCATGGACAATACAAGGACTCTTTCTGCTCCTCTTGTTGGTGTCTTCCATCAAATGAACCGGAGCATCATCATTTGCTTAGCTTCAGCATTTATTAGATGTAAACACGCAGTCACTGGTTTTCAGCAAGAGGAAGCAGAGTGGGGGTGGGAGTGATGGATATCTTTGTTTGATGTGTGGGCTGAGATGAAAAACAGGAGGGGCATCTTCTTTTTTCCTCATCTCGCCTTCTCCCCGTGTCTGAGTGTTTCATCAGATGAGGAGAAAGTGGGTGAGAGTCACGCAGACTGTAAAATATGTCTCAGTTGAGCAAAGGGCTGTCTGGTCTGACACCCATCTGTGCTTTTCACACATCTACTTTTGTTAGATTTTTTTATTGCTGTAATTTACGACTGATTGTCACTCTTCGTATATCATGAATAAGTGCATGCGTCCCTGTGCGCATCGTATTACCGGCATGAAGTCGGAGAGCATACAGGCGGCTGGTGGACTCTGCCACCCGACCCCATAAATTCAGTGAAGTGCACATACTCCATCAGGTCCGGTCTGTTCAGACCACACACACTCACTCACACACACACACACACACACACACACCCTCGTAGAGAGTGATGGTGACTGATGGTGAGCTGGTCGGGATTTCCCTCAGGTCTTGCTCACTCACGACAGCAGGACGGTTTGATGATGTCACATTTTAATGATGTCACTCATGCCGACCTTTGTCTTGCACCAATCCCACGCCTCAGTGGGTCCATTGGTGGCTACATTGATTCTGTATGTTCACATCAAAGGTTCTTGGTCTAGTGGGAAATGTTAGAGTTCTCTTTAGATGCAGGAAGCAAAGTTTTAGAGACGTCATTATTATCTTTAAGAAGGAGTCTTACCTTATTTTAAAATTTCTGTTTAGCAGCAGTCCACAGATGATACATTAGATGCTAAAGGGGGTGGGCTGCTTGATTTGTGCCTCACTGTAGGTCTGTATATTTATACAGTGTCAATTTCTTGTTAAGCTTTTATATAATCTGTATCATTTCACTCTTATTTTCTCCACCCTGCATGTTTACATAATAGATAATACTGTAAAATAATACCACACTGGGTTTAAAGATGTAAATAGCTTCCTGTGAAGCAGGCCCTATCCTAACGTCTGCTCTGGTATTGATTTCTGGTCCTTTACAATTTAGTCATGGAACAATGGCCTAAAGATCTATTGGTAGGAAGTGTGGTGCCTTGCTCCCCCCTCTCCCACCGCCCCTTGTTCTCCACCTTCCGTGTCTCAACCTCTGGTTTACTGTTGTACATCTGCTTGATGTCAGAACAAGTCTGTGTGTGATGTGACCTATCTAGCCCCCGCTGAATACTGACAGAGTCCCATAACGGAGATCCGGCGCCCTTTTATTGCTGCCTCTGACCAGAACCGAGCTAAGCCTGGTTGTCTGTGCCAACGCAAACGGCCTTGGGCCACACTTTAGGGCCCGAGCATAAAAAGACTTAGCCCAACATACCCTCAGGTCCCATCCATTATTCACTACGAAACACTCAAATTGCCAAACCCCTCCCTGCCCCATAGTGCAAGAAAGATAATGCTTATGTGTGTCTGCATGGGGGTGGTGTGGGGTGGCAAGAGCTTAATGGCAAGCTGTGAAGTTGGGGCGAGTCACACTCCTTCTTCAGCAGCTGCTTTCATCCCCTGATTAGCTTCTTATTAAGTCTGCGGCACCATGAAAATTTAATGAGAATTTATTAAAGAATACCCGTGGTGTTGCTGCTGTAGGACGATGACAAAAATATCCTTTTTCTCCGCTGTGATATGGTTGCCTGCATGGGCAGTGCTTGGGGTAGTGTGTGTGAGTTATTCAGTGGACAGTGTTTAACCTTACTGGATGCTGTATTGGAATACATTTTTAAATTTCGATGGTAGATTTTGGCGCCCTGTTAAGGAATTGCGTGAAAATCCTCCATATTTCGGTAATGAGGTCACCATGAATAAAGGATTCCACACTGTGCAGCAGACAACTAATAGTGGATTCCCTCAGACCTTGGAAATGGCAAGATGAAAGGGTTGCACCAAAAACCTCAGCCAGCCAGACAGAGACTGAGCGTCATCTTTTTGTTTCGGTGGTGCATCCTAATTTCCACGCATCCTTGCCTCTCCACCATCCCCACCCTTCCATGTTTTCAATATCTAACAGAATAGCTAATAACAAGCATTTCAAATTACTCCTCCTGGCATTCAGCGTCTGTGCGGGAGTTGAACGCTGCTTTTGCTCCCCACCTCACCTCCCGCTCGACCTCGTCCTGTCCTGTGTTTTGTCTGCAGTCAGATTTGTGCCACGGCGATGTGCTAATGAAGTGTGAGAAGTGAAGCAGTTACACGTCTCGCCCATTTCGCCCTCGACTCCCTGGAGTGTGGAGATGCAGAAAATCGTATACACAAGCAGAGAGAGGGTTTCACAAAACGACCACACTCACACGCATTAGAGAGAAACTCACACACACACACCCACCCTGTATCAGTCTCAGGGGACTGATCCTGGAGAAACCAGGTTAATTAGCTTGTTCACTCCAGATCTTACAAAGAATCATGCTCTTCAGATGAAGGGAGCTGAATTGTGCTCTGCTGCTTTGTGTGCACCTAATAAAGCCCAATAAACCCCCTTAATCACATGACTGGCTACCAGACCAGTTACTGTGGCAGGGTTTATTCCAAAAATCTGAGTGATCTCCATTATTGCTGGTGCAAAATTAAGTCATTATCTGCTCCTTATTCAGCACGGAAATGATTTTTATGTCTATGGGGGCTGAATTATTGGGACCCACACGTGGCCGTTCATGTTGCTTATGGAAAAGACATGCAGAATGGTACATTTTGTCTATCATCTATGAAGAAACAAGACCGACAGGAGAAAGAGAGTGCAAGAACAGACTGGAATTATCCACCAGCCTGATCCTTTGACGCAGGCAGCTCAGCACAAGTGCTATAATCCTCTCCTCTCCAAGTCTAACAGTAACAAAGCTTCAACACGTCACCATGTTGTTCACATCCTTCCTTCTACCTGGAACTCCTGCACACAGCTTACGCAACTGGCTTTCCATCCATGCAGATCGTTTTTGGATCTGTGTTTCTTACACAATCCTTCGCTTCGGGTAAATCAGGGCCCAGTTTATTAATCTGTTCTGTTCAGATTTTTTTCCTCAAACGGGATTATGTTTTGAGTAGAGGTTAGCCAGGGTGCTCCTATTTTGGTTCTCTGTTATGTCTGCACCCACGAGACCTGTTGTACAACCATTAATCGTTCTATTTAAATGAGAAAAATCTTCCACTTTACTCTCTTTGCTTTTAGCTGCCCTTTCTGTTGCAGTGAGTGTTTGAATATATTCAATATGTTTCTGGTTCCTCGTGCATTGCTTGCGTTCATTCCAGAATCAATGCATATCTGTGTTTCCATCGTACTGGTTTCACCATCAATACCACATGTGGAAAGCGGGTTCCTAGAATCCAATTAACGTGCAGAAACAGTGATTAGCTGTGACGTTTTCTTTTTTTCAAATTATGTATCAGGCTTGTCTGTATTATTACCGGTGATGTATGTGTGTTATCTCAAGCATTCCTCCAACACGACAGGAAGCACTGGCCTGTCTTTGTTAGACCTGGCTGGCCACAGGATTTATGGGCTTCATACAGTTATGGTCTGCTGATGAAACTGTGTGTAAGAGAGAGATAGAGACAGCCTGTAAGTACACATTTGATCAGTTGAATGTCTGCCCCGCTGCTTCCCATGTCCATCTTGACCCTGCTGGGGTTCACAGGTTCACAAAATAAAAATCTAGATCCACACCCCAGCTGCCGTGCACTGCATTCTACAAAAGGGAAATTTGATTTAGAAAGAATGCTACATTTTAAGCCACTGCTCTCCATCAGTTGCTGAAAGTGAATAGATCAATTTTCCTGTCGGAAGTAATTTGCATGCTAAAATAATTGTGGAAAAAAAAAAAACTAATTTAGAAAAGCATTCCATAGCGTTCCAGCAAGTTTCCGCTTTGCTGGTTCTGCCATAGAGATGACTGAAGGATGTGCCTGTGTACATACCGCTCTAATGACATCCATCAATTACTGTTTCTTCTTTGTAACTTAATGTTTCACTGATGAGGGAGGAAAGATGGAGGGGTTTGGCACAGGAAAAGGAGAACTCTATGAAGGACGAAACGGGGGGAAAATTACTTTGATTCAGTAATGCTGACTGCTAAATAGAATCCATTCCCATCTGAGGGATTGGTTCCAGGGTAGATGTTATGGAAGTCACTATTGCATGTGTGTATATAGTTGATATGCTTATATTTTCTGTGCCTACATAAGGTCAACAAATACATATTTCAGATATGACATATTTTGATATTTGTGCAATTTCAGATGTGTGCTCAGAAATATGGTGTGTCAACAATATGGTGTGAGAAAGTCTCCCAGGGTTTAATTAGGTCAATTTTTTGTTGTCTGTTAAAAGGTTATTACTTTCTTTAGTCAAACATGATTAGTAATGGCCCTTACCTCATGTCATTATCAGCATACGCTCATAATGATCCCTCTGGTGTCATCTGTAATTGTGACTGTCTCGTTCGCAATTAACTGAAACAAGGGTTGGAAGGCACGCACACTCATGCACGGAGACATGTCTCTTTGATACTTCCACTGTGCACAGAGCTAGATTGTGAAGGGTGCAGCCTGGCTCCGGCGACTCCATTGTGTGGAGTTGCATGCTGCATCCAACTGCTCGCACTTTCCCAGATGCAGTAGCCGGTTTTCACTCCACTGCAGCACTCTCACTGTCTGCCGAATTACAGCTAGCATCAGCAACAAAGTCCAGAGAGCTATTGGCACACACGTAGACACACACACACACACAGTCTGACTGCCGCTAGAGATGGAAACAGTCTCCATAGCAACATTCCCCTCTCCTGTTCAGAGCTCCACCAGTAGCAGGTCCACAGAGGCGTGGGGGTACAAAACAAGCCCTCTCTTTTTCTGTTTAATATTAGTGTTACTGTCAAGCAGAGGACTCGATTCGTCTCTGCTGATGTGTGTTTGCATGTCAGTGTGTCTGAGATGGAGAGACATAGATAATGTTCAGCCTCCTTAGCCTCGGGGTGTGTAATAATTGTAGTCACCATTAGCCTCTCCTAAACCCAGGCAGATGTATGTCATAGAGGAGGAGAAGAGAAGCTACCTTAAGGGTAGGTGTCTGTTATTTACTTTTCAGATAAACTGTAGGTATGTAGGTATTCAGAAATCTGAAAGATGGGCAGTCTTGTTTCAGTTACACCTCACTGTACACACAGGTAAAACGTATGTGAATGTAGTTTATGATGCCGCCCGGCTGCATGATGGCGTTATATGAGCGGTGACCCTTTTAAAAGAGAGTGCCCCATTAAATGACACGTCGTCTCGCTACAGACAGACAAAAGCTTAAATGATCATGAAGTGACTCATCCACGGGTTTTTCCTGACCTATATTTCACCAAACTGGGTATCTGTGCTAAAATCCCCACCACCTCCCCCACTAATGAAATTTTTTCTAGAAGTCACTCCACCAGATCTCACGCTTTTCCTTTTGACTGTGGAACGTGTTGGCAGGTTTTGTCCATGTCCACTCTGACATTTTCTCCACCTCTCTCCTTTGCTTCCTGTGTTGCAGCTGACATTATCTCCACTGTGGAGTTTAACTCATCGGGGGAGCTGTTGGCCACTGGGGATAAAGGAGGAAGAGTGGTTGTCTTCCAGAGGGAGCAGGAGGTAGGAAATGCCAACAATTCACCACTAATTATGTTGCCCTTTTTGCTAAGAGCATATCACAACCTGGAAGCATTTCGCTTGGATTGTTTGTTTTTGAATGTGTAAGTCAACACTTTACATATATATTACAAACAAATATGCAAAAAAAAAAGGAACTATGGCCTGCAGCTCTTTACCCTTTTATTTATTTTTGTTGGAATAGCCCTTTTGCAGTGTTTACCTAATTTAATCCTGTTTGACAATTTTATTTATCCACCTCTTGCAGAGTAAGACACAACCCCAGCGTCGAGGGGAGTACAATGTTTACAGCACATTCCAGAGCCACGAGCCCGAGTTTGACTACCTGAAGAGTTTGGAGATAGAGGAGAAGATAAACAAAATCAAATGGCTGCCACAGCAGAACGCAGCGTACTTCCTGCTCTCCACAAACGGTCAGTCATCAAAGGTGGTGGAACCGTCTTTGAAGTAACTCAGGACCTGTCACCGGGGCATGTCGACAAGGCGGCTTGTTTATTATGAAAGTGTCAAGTGACAGCGAGATTAATTCCTCACTATGCAGAATTGATTTACAGCCGGTGTAAAAGGCGACGTTAAAATGACATGAAAAATGGCTTCCTGACTATCTCTGGGAACATGGTGGCGTTTTGCTTGGATGGGCGGGTGCCACCAGCTGAAGAGTTTCAGATTAAGGACTTCATGCATGACTGCCACAGCAGGGACCACGCACGCACATTCATATGAAAGCATGTGCTACCGCAGACACGCACAATCATTCGCTCAGACAGACCCACACGCGCGCACACCCATCAGCAGAGAGACGTCTTGCAGATTGCGAGCTTCACGCATGGCCGCTGCAGAAGAGCTGGCGGTGGCTGGAGCAGATGGAACGGGGTCCTGTGGCGATGGCCTTGTTGCTCTGACACCAATATTCACAGCAGAAATTAAAAAGGATATGAAAAAAAAAGGCAACAACCTGCCTGCTGCTGCCATCCACTTCAGTAGACCGAGAAGATGAAATGTAACTGGCGCCGGGGTGAAGCGGAATTGATATGCGCCCAGATGGCTCTCTCTGGCGGAGCGTACAGTGGAGCATGGAAATGAAGCAAACTTGTAGAGATGGCTATCACTAACATCAGAATCAACACATGAGCCGCCATGCATCATCCTCGCTGGCGGCTGTCCAGCTACATGCCAGATTGGCTGCCCAACCCCCCTGCTTCCATTTTGTGGGAAGATTCGCGGGTGTCAGCCATGATCTAAATTCATTTAGTCTTTTCATCTTGTGTATTTTTTTTTTATTATCATGTTTTCAATTTCAGACAAAACTGTGAAGCTATGGAAGATCAGTGAAAGGGACAAGCGTCCGGAAGGCTACAACCTGAAGGATGACGACGGACGCATCCGAGACCCGTCGACCATCACCTCGCTGCGGGTAAGAGGTCGCACAATAGGATCAGGTCTACTATGATCCAGAATACCTTATTCATCCTGGAAAAGGGAAATTTGTTCTCGTGGTACTTTTGCAAAATCCATATGATCAGAAGTCAGGCATATAGTGGATGGATAATATTATCATCATGTGCAGTTAGCTGAATGGTTAATGCCCATGAATGCACATTCATATCGTTTCATGTCACTTTTCAATAAACCATTGCAAAATAGAAGATCACATGACATTTCATTGGTCAATCTTACCAGTAGGCTAACTAGTATCATAAAAGGGTGGATTCACAAGAGAAATGTTGAAAATACCTCAACCAGCTACAAAATTATATAAGAAAAGCTTCTATCTAATCATTACTACCACACTGTGTCCTATTCCCTTATATTTAAAAGTACTGTTAACATTTGAGACCATGTGACTTAATATGTTAACACAAAGATTTGATCATGCTTACTGACTAACTTCATATTATAGTAGCTGACATCGGGGATGTATAATGGCTGTTTTAGAATAAAAACTTGTTAAGTGCTCCTTGTGTATGTTTTCCTTAATGGTACCAAAAAGGGGGTAGAATTAATACTGGTATAGCGCTCTTAACGTAAAGTTCAACCCTGAATGCTTTTTAGAAAATAAAGAATCAACTGTCAGAACTTTTCTTGGGAGCTGTTGAGCATCAGCTGTTTAGCAGACTGTGCTCTAATTACAAATTAGCTGGTTCCATGCAGGGCCCTATCTCATGCTGAGGAGTATGGAAAAAACAATAAACCCAAAGTTAAAAGGACCAGGCACCTCTGCCAACAACGATGTGTTAGGGTTTCAATCGATGCGCAAATTAGAGAGGAACTTTAGAGCGCTTTTGTCAGCTTTAATGAAAAATAAAAAAGGTAAAAACCACAACCCTTTTGATACCCATTCAAGTTTCGCTGCAAGATGTCATTGGAAAATCATGCAATGACTGTGAATATTCCTAAATGCTATCTTTACGCACTTTCAAACCCATACTGGCAGTGGAAAGTCTGAATAAGTAATCAATACGAGCAGGGGAAAGAGAACCATGAGGCAATCTTCCTTTGCCTCTCACCCCTTCTTATCACTCCACTAACCATTTAATTTTCACACAAAAAAAGGTCACGCACATGGGACACTGTGCGTGTGCGTGCATGTGTGCACGTGTCTGCCATAGCAGATTAGTGCTGTGTTCAGCGTGTCTGTCCCTCTTTGTCCGGCTGGCAGAGGGATCATAGCAACCTGGAGGACAGGCCGGGACTGTGGCAATCCCGTTTATAGGCTGTGAAATCTGTGCAGGGGAAAGCACAGGGAGAAAGGGAGGAATATTAATCCAGACTGATCTGAAGGACTACAACAGATAAAGCAGGATATAAGTTTTACCATTCAGTCAAACTCTTAAAATGTCAAATGCAAAGAAAGCATGTTTTATCTGCTAATGACCTACTTCCTTGAAAAGAGAAGTGCGTCCCACTATTTCTTGATTTCTGAAGCATAAATATTTGTATTCAGTTTATTCTATTTTACACACTATAAGGAGTTATCCTGTAATATCACTGAGAAGGTTCAGGGGCAGGCTGACAGTGTAACTGGGAGTGTTACGGGTTATGGGTTAATAGGGTCCATGTCTCTCTGGACAGCTAGTGAAAGACATGGAAATGAAGTGACACCCATGGAGATATAGCAGCCTGCTGGGCTGCCATGTCTCTCTGTCAGTGCCAGCGATGGATGAGAGAAAAAAGAGGAGAAGCAGTCGATTTGTTCTCCTGGCTCACTCCCCTTTCTTCCCTCTTTGTCTGGGTTTTATCTGGCCAACGGGGGGCTGCATGCAGGCTGGTGCTGGGTGTCTTTGAAGGCTGTGCAGGGCCGTGCAAACCCTGTGTGTTTGCATGTGGGTGTGTGCGAGCTTGTCTTAATTTTAAGAAGTTCAGTTATCATTCCTTGGCAGGGCATTGCCGTGCCCCCTGGCCATCTCTTTCCCACCTCTTTTGCTTTGTCTTTTTCTGTTCTGGCTTATTCATCAGTCATTTGCTGAAGAGAAAAAGAGGCGCGATCTCTTATTCTGTTGTGGCAAACAGATATTATGTCTGACTGAGCCAGCTCATCAAACAGCCAGGGACCCCCTCAGTATCTGTCTCTGTTTCATTAAGATTTGTGGAGTAAATGTCAAATGAGTCCCCGGAGTCGTCTGGTTGTGTGTCATGCACACGCACAAACTCACACCGGAGGCTCCGATTCACCATGCAGGCACACAAACAAACCACGTGCTTGCAGCTTTAATCAAACAGAAAACAGAACTGTGCATCAAAGTGACAATGGACATCATAGCATGTTTTTATTTTGTTTTACTTATTCAAATTCCCCCTTAAATGACCTGTAGGTGCCGGTGCTGCAGCCGATGGATTTGATGGTTGAGGCTACAGCCAGACGCGTGTTCAGCAATGCTCACACGTACCACATCAACTCCATCTCTGTCAACTCTGACCTTCAGACCTTCATCTCCACTGACGACCTGCGGGTGAACCTGTGGAACCTGGAGATCACTGACCGCAGCTTTAGTATCCTTTTCTGCCCCAGCGGTGCTAATTCCTGCACAAATCATTGTTTTTCATCATTTTACGTCCAAACGCACGCACACAAAGAAATTGCGTAATAAAACAGATGCAAAAGAAACAGATGTCAGGTTATTACCAGGAAAAATATTTCTACTTTCTATCATGACGTATTTGGAGTTTAAAAGCAGATTATGTTTGGCTGGTGGAGGGATGTAATGTTTAGAGAGTACAAAATCTCAGAATTTCCATTTGTAGAGTTGTGGAAAAATAAGGTAGGGTATTATCTGAGATCAAATCGGAGATAAAATGCTGAAAAATGTAATTACTTTTTTATTCTGTTTGTTTTTTTAAAGGGGGCTGTGCTATTAAGGAAATGCTCAACTTCACTTTGGAAGATTTAGTTTCTCTTTCAGTGGAAAAAATGATTATAGGTTTAGGAGTAAGGGATTTGAGTCATCATAGCATCATGAGTATCTGAGTTATGCATATTTTGGCATATTTAAGCAACAATAGCATCCATGATGATACAGTGACTGTGTCATGGTGATTACATTCACACACCTAAAAAAGCCACAGTAACAGGGTTCCTCAACCCTAAAAAGAACATATAAAATTGATTATCCATCCCGCAAATGTTTTCCATTTTAATCACAGATTTCTTTCCTAATGAATGAATTATTTTGTATTCTTATATTGTGTCAGATTTAAAGGAAACCTTCCTTAGCGTATGCTTCTCAGACATTGTGGACATCAAGCCAGCCAACATGGAGGAGCTGACGGAGGTAATAACCTCGGCAGAGTTCCACCCGCAGCATTGTCACACCTTTGCCTACAGCAGCAGCAAGGGCTCCATACGCCTCTGTGACATGAGACAGGCTGCGCTCTGTGACAGGCATTGCAAATGTGAGTATTGGCAGAGTTCGTCATGGGAAAAAGAATAATTAGGTGCCTAAAATCGGAGTGAGGACTGTGTCTTAAAGGTTTTAGGAATCCACAGACATTCCATCAATGAGATCCATCCAAACTTTAGAAATTTGGCAAATCCTCCATTTTGTAGGCCCAGGTGATCCTCTTCACAACTAAACAGTCATCATGGAATGACTCTCATTATTGAACTATGAATATTTGCAAAAAACACACTTAAATACAAATTGTAATACATTAGTTCTTTTTAGAATGATATTACACAGTTAGTTACACTTGGTTACCATAAATCTGCCCTGTCTTTGTGAGGCTGTTGTAGATGCTTGTCTTGCTTAATAGGCCACGATTGATGAGCAGTCGATTTTCCTCGCAAGGTCTCCCACGATAGGCGGCTTTCCCAAAGCCTTAGCATCGCATGCAAACAATTTGGCTGGATGAATAATGAATGCATTGGCATTTTCACCGGGAAATCAATATAGCAAGAGCCCTTGCATTATTCCCTCATGGACACACCTTATTGTTCAATAATGTCACTCATTTCCTCAGATGTATCGATGTGTCCAGTGGTCCATAAACAAAGCCTCTTGAATTTTGCATGAGCATTTGGAGAGTTGCTAGGAAGGTTTTGGGGTGATTTTTGAAGTTATTTAGGTCTGGCCTGTCAAGAGTGTGGAATGTGTAAACCTCCATTCAGGTACGTTGACACCTGAATGGAGGCTTATAGATTCAACTGTCTGCAGCCGGTTCCTATGATCATCTTCAGCATGGGCCTATTAACTCCTACTGTCTCACTGCATGAATGCATTTTCCTCACAGCTACGTATAATGTTATCCCCATAGCTCACACACACAAACACACACACACATACACGCACCTCCTCCCTCCTGTGACATCCATAACGCCTTAAACCTGGGGTATATACGACTCAAAACCATCCTGACTGCTCCTGCAACCATAAATTCAGGAGACTGCTGGTATCAATCAGCCTTAAGATATTGATGGATAGATGGTCTTTGGTGGGGATTGCCACAGGACTCAGCCCCCGGACAGCGGGAGAGGGACCAAACATGCCCCCCTGCCGACTCCCCGGGGACCCTATTATACACCCCTGGAGCAGAAGTCCAGGGACACACACACACATGCATATATACATGGACGCCCCACACTCCCACTTAGTCATAAACACTTTCTCTGGCACATGCACACACACAAATCCAGCGGGGCTCATACAGGCCCAGCACTTTGACATTGATTTGTTTTTCTTATCCCTTCCTCATCCCCCCATTTTTTCATCTCGAGCTCCATCCCCAGTCGGACTCCCCATTGACACATCAGAGAGCAATTCTCCAGGCCTCAGCTGAGGAGGAGGAAGATGGAGTGCAGGGGGGGTTACGGGGGTATTTTTGGAGAGATGGAGAGGAAGGAGGGGAGGAAGGGCGGGAGGCACGGAGGAGGAACAATACCTTGACAGCTAACGATGGAATGCCTGGCTTTCATCCCCAGTGTGCTGGCCTGCGCACAGATCACCAGCTGCCAAAATCAATATGAATCATAACCAATATTTACCCACCACGCTGACCTGCGATTATCTGTCTGAATATTTCTGTGCAGAGATGCAGCTGCGGCAGCAACATCCAGGCATTGTTGCGGCGAATATTGCCACTCCCTGCAAATCCAAATCAAATATTCTTTTTTGTTTATTTTCAAAAGATTTTAAGGCACATGCAAGGAAAAAATCTCCTTCAAGCAGCGACCTCCTGCTGTGTAAAAGAGTATTTCTAAGTGTTGTTTCATGTCTTGTGCCTGCAGACTTTGAGGAGCCAGAGGATCCTTCCACGCGTTCCTTTTTCTCGGAAATCATCTCATCCATCTCAGACGTAAAGTTCAGCCACAATGGACGCTACCTGATGACAAGGGACTACCTCACTGTCAAAGTGTGGGACCTCCAAATGGAGAACAAACCACTTGAGACCTACCAGGTATGCCTTCGTAATGCTTTCTTTCCTCAGTCAGACTCATAAATGCTCCAGAGAGGATTCCCAGCGGGCAAAGATGGTAAATTACGGCAGTCCCCAGATCAAATCAGAACTTATTGATTTTAAGGATAATCACTCAGCGTAATCCTGTTTCACTGTCACCCAGCCGATCCGTAACCTTGTCATCTTTAGCAATTATGCCAGGAGTGCTTATTGAACCATGTGTCCATCACAGGACAGTGCTGGTGCTGCACCCTGAAGGGTTAAACTTCCCTCCGTGTGGTCACCAGGGTCAGATCCATACTGTCTGATCATGGGAAGCCACCTTAGGGCAACTCATGTTGGATAAGGCCATCAGCCAGGCTCAAAGGATTCTTTTTCCAGTTCAATTTCCACTTACTACCTAACAACTTCACATAGGTCACCAGGTCTAAAGGATTACTGAAAGTAGAGCATATGGCGGGAAAGCTCACAAGACTCCACTCACGACTAGTATGATGAATTTAAGATGTTTTCCAAGTGATCCATCTGAATGCTTTGTATTTGTTTCATAGGTTCACGATTATTTAAGAGGCAAGCTCTGCTCTCTGTATGAGAACGACTGCATCTTCGATAAATTCGAGTGCGTCTGGAACGGCTCAGACAGGTGAGCCCTCTTCTCAGTCAATCCTGCCGCAACATCCATCAACCAGTCAGAGCACCCATCCTTCCACTGACTTTCTCATCTGCTTGTCTCCTCCTCAGCGTCATAATGACGGGATCGTATAACAATTTCTTCAGAATGTTCGACCGGAACACCAAACGAGACGTCACACTGGAAGCCTCCAGAGAGAACAGCAAACCCAGGGCTATTCTGAAGCCTCGCAAGGTGGGTCACGTTTCCACAGCGCCTTAAATCCATCAAGCCCTAAAGCATGTCCAGAAAAATATATATTTTTGAATTTCAAGCTTTTAGAATGATGCCTTCAAATAGCTCAGTATGTCCAACCAGGGGTGTAAAGCCAGTTATTTTATGCTAGCTTGAATATTTCTCTCTGGGGAAGCCACTAGCTGCTTCTTTCTGTGTGCTTCCATTACATTTTCCATAATTTAGAAAATAACTATGTATGAAGTGTCATTTAAAGAGCTGTCATAACAGACAATATCATCTGATCCACATTTTTTCTCATTAAGAGCACTTTAATGTCCCTCATGGGGCATTCATTAGCCCTAGAGCAATACAGTTTCTCCGAGAGGTCCGTAAAACACATGGAGTGAATTCATTTTGAAATATGGCTTATTAAGGACTTCCACTGTTCCTTTATGTATAAACAACCTTCTATTTTCTCCTCTTTTTAATGCTGGTGTGTTACGGAAGTCATAAAAAAAAACTCACTAAATAGGTCTTTGATGTAGCTTAAGTTATTCAGATACATGCTTTGATATGCGTAAATACACCATGTTTTTTGGCTTTCCTGTAGGTGTGTGTGGGCGGGAAACGTCGCAAGGATGAGATTAGCGTAGACAGCCTCGACTTCAGTAAGAAGATCCTGCACACGACATGGCACCCACACGAGAACATCATTGCTGTAGCAGCCACCAACAACCTTTACATCTTCCAAGACAAGGTGAACTAAAAAAGCAGCCAGCCCCTGCTAGCCCGTGTCCCCACACACGTGAGGGGCCACTGCCTTCGATTCCCCCGCTCTGCTTCAGAGGCGCAGAGTCAAGTATCCTGTGACTGAAGTGGGGAAGTCAGCAGAAAGGATTTTGAGAGGCGCAAAACGGATACGAAGAAAAAGGGCCTCATTCCACAATTTGACTTCTACTTTAATTTATTTAGCCACGCGGACACCCGAAGAATGAAATCCTGTGCATTTATGCAACAAGAGGATCGCTGCATGAATAATGTGATGTAGCAGCCCTCTGGACCCTGAAAAAAAAAAGGGCAGACATGGGAGCACTCAATAAAAAAAATTAAATAAAGAAAACACAGAGCACACAGACAGAAAGGAGGCTTACATGATGGTGGCTCATTGTCATGTAGCAGCAGTGCCCCCTGTCCTTCAATCTGCTCATGCTACCACGTATGTGACGATCCCCGCCGCCTCTGACTGTGGGGGACGTTTTGGACAGCGTAGCCTGCTGCAGAAGAAGAAGAACAGACTGTTAACGTCGGACTCCGGAAACTGACAGAGCACAGTCAGTCTTATTAGTACCAGTTTTGTGTCTCCTTGTTGAGACAGCTGTAGTCTGTAATGTGAATGAAGCCCTTCCAGGCCGTGTCAACTGTTTTATTTAACGCTGTCGTTATGTTCAGTCTTTCTCTCGGTCAATGAGTCAGTTTAGAAGCTGTGGTGCCTTCTTTTGGTATGTGGGGGCTCGATGTAGTGGGTGGGGGAGGGGGAGGGGGAATGTGTGAATGTTTTAAATGAAATCTTAACTTAGGAGCTTCTCGTTTGTTTGCTTTTCCCCTATTTCTTTCTCTCTTTAACCAGAAGAAGAAGAAAAAAAACCCTGCCGTGAAAGTTCACAGAGTAAAAAGTGCTTGAGGCAAATTAGTCAAGCTCACCTTAAAGCACCCGGTTACATGCTTGTGAGCTCAGGAGAGAATGCTCTGATTTGTACAAAGTAACTGCATCTGTGTCTGTCTGATGTCATCGGTCTGTAAGAGACATGTCAAAGCCACTTTTTCTTTTTATCGCGATATTCCTGTGGAGAAAAATCTGAACCTCATGCCACGTTTGAAGCTTATTTGGGTTGTGCTTGAGCTGATCTGTAAATGGTAGAACCGTAAATGTGTCGTGTCAAATCCCTGAACTGGACACAAGATAATCTTTCCTTGGCATTAAAGTCTTTCGCATGTGTGCGATCTGACATTCGGTTGAATGAACATGTGCAGATCATTTGAGGCACCTTACATTTAACGGCTCTCATCGGACGATGCCAGTTCCAAGGGGTTTTATTTGCATTTGCTGCTGTGCTTCTGCATGCTTTTCATCCTGCTGGAGATGGGCAGCGTGACGCAGCCGCAGGTTGCCTCGCAGCGCTCGGTATAGATCAGTGCGGAGACCGTTACTCGTCTCAGATTTGTTCCAAGAGCCAACTCCCCCAAAGCAAAGCAGTCAAAGGTCTAACTGTACTCTGTGAAATCAGGGAATAATTAAGTGTGATTCAATTAACAGTAATGTCTTCTAAACAAGAACCTTTGTGACTCTTCTAATTAAAACGAGACAATTTTTTATAGCTCAGAATGTATTGAAATGCAATGAAATACCATGCAGACTTTATGCTTACTGGACTTTTTTCTTTGAATAAAAAACAATAAAGATGTGCAAGCTCAAATCCTGTATTCATTGACCTCCTCTGTGGAAAAGAAGCCAGTGCCCTGCAGGTTGTGGTGTCTGGATGCCCCCATGTGGACAGTGAGTTGAATACGGGAAGTCAGTCCTGGCAGCTATGTAATTTTTTTTTTTCAATTGGTCGATTTTTATATTCTATTTCACACTATCACTTTGTGATCAGGAAAGGATCTTAAAAAGCATTGAATATGGTGATTGGAAAGGAAAAAAATCGTAATCAGAACTGTCATATTAACTGTTCTGTAACAAATGCTGACATCATCACTCTGTAACGATACTGAGCTTGTGAGAGCTTTGAAAGTTCCAGAAGCTAAGCATAATTATCTCTGTGCTCTTGCGTAAAAGCTCCACTGTAAATTTCATCCAAACAACTAATATAATGCCTGATGTTCAAAATGATACAAATTTGAAGTCCAATAATGTGGACATTATGGAGACTTTCCTCTAATTGGCCCCATGTGGGTGTAGTCTGTACACATTTTGCCTGCTGGGGACAGGAGCTGTCAATCAAGCAGGGTCTTTATAAGTAGCCGCAGAGGCTGCTTCAGAGCGTCTCAGCATAGAGCGGCGGAAAGGCTGGAGCTCCACTGTGATCACTGATCCTCAATCAATCACGTCTCTGGTTTGATTTTGACAGCTTTTGATTTAATTCAGTCCTTGAAGCGGTTCTGTTTTTGGACGTTTTTTTCAAGCCAGAGGCATTTTCATCACCACTTGGCTTTTTTTTTTAAAAACAACTTTTCTTCTATCAGATAAGGATGGACAGGCTGAGTGGGAACAATGCGACTGTGGTCAACAGCTCTATAGACAAATGGCCGTTCAACGAACTCGGCTCTTTCCAGCAGCAGGACCTGGGTGAGCTCAGGGTCCTGATTCCCGCTATTTTGGGCGTGATTTGTGTGCTGGGCGTAGCTTGCAATCTTACCTCGATGGTCATTCTGTTCTCAAACGCACACAGGGGTAAACTGTCCCTGATCAACTCCCTCATCTTCAACCTGATGTTTGCGGACGGGCTTGTGCTGATGTTCACCGTGCCTTTCAGGGCTGCGTCCTACTCAAAGGCCAGCTGGAATCTGGGCTGGGTGGTGTGCAAGACAGCCGACTGGTTCCTGCAGTCCTGCATGGTGGCAAAGAGCCTCACGGTGGCTATCATGGCCAAAGCCTGCTGCCGATACGTGTCGAACCCCACCAAGCAAGTCAGCATCCACCTGGGCTCCATCCTGGTGGTGCTCTTCTTCATATGGCTGTCCGCCTGCTCCGTCACCATCCCTCTCTGGCTCTTTGCAAGGCTGCAGAAAGACATCCGCGGCTTGGTTTGTGTGCTGATGGTGTCTCCTGAAGCCCAGGAATTCATGTCTGTGTACACCAAAGCTTACCCTCTGGGGGTCTACTGTGCACCCCTGAGCTTTGCCCTGGTGTATTTCTGGAAAGCCTACGGCCAATGCCAGCGCCGCTCCACTAAGACTCAGAATCTACGCACGCAGATCAGATCCAGAAGGCTCACTTTGATGCTTTTCAGCCTCACTGTGGCCATGGCCGTCCTCTGGCTTCCTCAGTGGGTGGTGTGGGTCTGGGAGCGTCACATAGCAGAGAAAGAAATTGAAGGAGCTCAACCTCTCATCTCCCCTCCTCCCCTTTTTCTGACCCTCTCCGCTCAGCTGCTCACCTTCTCGCTCTCACTGGTGAACCCTCTCATCGTGCTGTTTCTCTGTGAGGAATTCAGAGAGGGTTACCGGGGGCTGTGGAGGCGCCTGACCCTGCGCAAACAGCCACCTCCAAAGGCAAAGCCCGGACCTCACAACCCTACCTCGCTGCAATCGCCATGTCCCAGACCCGAGCTATCAACGCAGCTGAGGGGGGAGAGGAGACTTCAGTTCGGCTTGAACCAGGAAAGCAGACAAGAGGCTCAGCCCCAGCCAGAGCAGGCTGCATCTGGGGAAGAAAGAGAGGCAGACAGGGTGAGCCTTAAGGATGGGATTGTTTTGCCTGACGTTGAGCAGTTCTGGCATGAGAGAGAAAGTGGATCAAACGCAGACGAAAATGACCCTATACCGTGGGAACATCAGGACAAAGAGGAGAAAAACTAAAAACCACCTTTCTCATTGATCATCAACAGATGGCAACAGACCTCTGCTGAATGGTGCAAAGAAAATCATTTGTGCTTTGTTATCTGTTTGTTATCGTAAGGTAAGTAGTGAAATCACAGTGAGAGTGGAGTAAAATTAGAGTGTCAGTATATTGTGGCTTTGTATTAAATGTTTTTTTATGTCAGTTGAAACAGGATAGATTCTAGTTACTGTAAAGTGATTATTGGAGGCTGTAAATGAATGCTTCTGTACGATTGACGCACACATACAAATATGAAAAATATATATAAATGTATGTATTTGTATACCTGCTTGCCAATAAAGTTAGAATAAAATACTTTTTACCTCTTCACATGAAATGATAACGATGTGATTTATTCCTGTAAGATAAACTATATAGCTTCTCAAAACTTTATTGATCTCTCCTTTCAAAGTGCTGTACAGAAAAGGACATAAAAATAGGAGTGTGTTTTACAGTTATTCTAACTTCATGGGCAGCCCAGTACGTTATGAATTATTGTAAAGAGTAGGAGATTCTAGTGTTTACAAGTAACATTTCCCTTAACCTAAAGGGTGTGTGAAAATGTTTTCCTGGAGAATTATGCCATCACCAGATTTTGTACCTGTGTAATCAGTGTATATAAGTGCTGGAAAATTAAATGCCGTCCACTTTCCTCTCTCGGTGCAAACACCATGCATCTCGTTGACAAGTGTTTTCAATAAAGATGTACTCAAAATGAAACTTGTGTGTGACTAAATTTGTTGCGACTTGGTGTCATTCAGATGAGTCATGACTATCATTTTGGGCAATTGAGTCTTAAGGGGACAGGCTCATGCTGATATTAGATCATTAAATATGTTTCCATAAGGGCACTATTAGAATTACCAGGGGTTCTAATTAGAGGAAAAGAGCTTTCCTGTGAGCTCGGACGAGGTGTCGGTGGACTCACCTCTGCGGGACTCTCATAAGGAATTCTCTCTTCATTGATCTGAATGTATGATAGGTCAGAAGCCCCCAGCTGAAGAAATAAATATGCCGAAATTGTGGCTGAATTGATTTGTAATCAATTTGACCAACAGCTACAAGAGGATTCTACTGAGTATGACATGTAAATGGTCCTTTTCTCTGTTATGAAAGATTTACATTTTTCAACATCGTTACCTAAATTTGTCTCAAAATATCCGCAGAAAGAAAAATAAAAATCACAGAACATTTAGGATGTAATCATCCCACAGTTACCTAACACCTCTTTTTCTCTCCACCATCCTTTATGACATTTTCCTCTCATTAATCATTTATGTTGACCTTTTATCGCCAGAGGCAAGTTACTCAATCAGAGCAACACTTAACTATATAACCCACCATCAGTCCCTGGGGTAGTGAACTGGCCAGAAATGCTAAAGGCAAAAAAGCTTTGCCCCCCTATAGACCCCTGTTAGAGAATAAAGATAATGAAACCTTACTCTTCACCTGCAACTAAAAACCTCGAACTGAACATTAATAACTGTTGTGATGCACCCTGTAAGCCACCGTATAATTTCCCCATAGTCCTTCATGCTGACATGTGTGGCTTTGCCATTTGTTCTGGCAAATGAGCCAGTAAATCTGCAGTTGTGGGATTTCATCCATTTCAGAATAAACCCCTGAAGCTGTTAATCACTGCAAGGTAACTGGTTAAAAAAGGGCTCCTCTAGATAAACTGCGCTCCTTTTTAGAGGTCCTATGTGGGACATTAGCCTGTGTGTTTCCCCTGTTTACTCGGTCAGAGCAGAATTGTGTAGACAGGCGCACATTTTTTGTTAATTGTTTTGTGTGGCTGCCTCGCAAACTCCATCCATTTCTCTTTTCTTTGTTCACCTTTTAGGAACTCAGCCCCTGCATCTGCCTGCTGGAATTCAGGACAAAGGTTGGCATTTCATGATTTTCTGGAGACCAGACACAATATAAAAACACTTGGTTCAAATCCATTTCAACTCAACAAGCTGAGTCTTTCTCATTGAGAATTTGACCACATAGTTAGAAAGCTGCTATGAGAATTAGGATGCAGGTGTGGAATACACATGATGTTCATTTAGTCATGATCTAATCTAGACAAACTCTTATCAACATGTTGTTCTGTGTGTACTGATTCTCAGTTGAGAAATTGAGATTTTCTCGTTCAATATTAAAAATCAAAAACAACTCGGGTTAATTGGGTCATTATATAGGCAGGGGATCTTCCAGCAGGTGAGCTCCTCTCTTTACAGCCCTCCTGACTGTGTCTCCCTCCCACTGTGAGGGGAGGCAGGGGTGTCATCCCTCCGTTTTATCCCTCAGCCAATCATCATCTCTAATAAATGAAACTCCACAGGAAGTGACATGCCAGCTAACACTAATTATGCTCAGCAGGAGAGGCCGGCTGCAATTAAGCCACATGCTAAAACCTTTTGCCTGTCAATGCCTCATCTCCCTCACAGTCGTGGGTACCTTCACCTCCCTTTGGTCCTGAGGAGGATCTCCTGGCTCTTCGGTCTGCATGGAGTTCGACATGGCTGTTCACATGCGAGCGGGAGCGAGTGGGGGTGGGGTGTTGTTGTGCTGGAGATCGGTTGGTTCAGGGGGTCTAACCCTGGTATTTAACGGTCTTTTGATTAGAATAAGTCAGAGAGCTTTCATCTAAAGGGCAGGAACATTCCAGCATTTTCAGTAAGAGGGGATGTCAATTGAACTCACAGGGCATGTGCTGTTGACAGCTGAGTCAATGCAGGGACAAATATGAAGCACCATTTAAACTCCACTACAGCAACAATAGCATAAACCACTCACTGATAACTAATCATGGTAATGACATTAAAAAAACAACTGCATTCAGTTGCAATGATATGGAATGATACTTGTCTACCCAAACTATGAGCCCCCACATATTGTTTGAATTCCATGCTTACCTTTAGTCCCACCATGGCTGACAGCATCTCTACTGTGTCCCAGTGCCCTCCAACTGACTGCTGTCACCTGTGTGATCGAAAAACTTAGCACAACCCAAACAACCTAAAAAACTATTGGCAAATCAGTAACCTTAATTTTCTCTTTGAAGAAACTATAGCTGCTTAAATTCAGAACTAAGTCCAACTGAGAGCTTGATGAGGTTATCATCCTTGAAAACACCAATGACTTCAATGTCACTCGCCATTTAGCCACAAATATAACTTGATATTTCTTATGTCTTTTTATTGTGATGATTCACTGTATCGTTGAAGAGTATTAAAAAGATAACAGTGAACACTGGCTTTTGAGGTTTGGTCACCACAAATAGATTACAGCTAAGAATGGTAAAAAAAAACTGTATTCTGTGACAAATACTTTAAGGTTCCAATTTGGGCATTTTTCCCCCATTTTTTTAGCAGCAAAGCAGAATTTCAAGAAACGTCACCATAAAGCAGGCTATCAAAGTTTAAAGAGTAACTGTCAGATGAGGGACTCAGCAGTACTTCAAAGTTCTTCTCTGTAGTGCGGGGTTAAACTGCCACCAAGTGGTGAAAAAGAGAACATAAATCTGAGACTTCTGATATTTCTCTCTAAAATCAAAAGGTGTAATTTGGATTCAGTGGGCTAAGATTTTGATGAAGTATCAGGTGATGCGTTTTCCGCTCACAAGCAGATCGTTGGCACAATTTGCCAGTAAATGTCAGAGCCACGACATATTTCCATTAGCAGGTTGAATAAGACTACCTGTATATACTCAGGGAATGATGCTGGTACCTAAACCATGAGTAAGTAATATAAAACAGAAACAAAACTGTCAGTCCAAATCTCTTGAATAAAGAAGTGCAAAATACATGACATGCACAAAACAAGACAGCTAAGAAGTTGAACATCAAATTTTATTTGTCCACAGGTTTATTTGATTTCCAGTTTTAGGCGCAGGGTTGCGCATTCCCTGTGTTTGCATAGGTCATATGATAAGGTAGAACATGGCAGTTGGCAGGCTGTGTTTTCATATCCCAGATTACATTTGTCTAAGTAGTCAAATAGACCACAATATCATGAAAAACTGACAGAAAATACATCAGTGTGATCCAGCCTGCGGTTGCACAATAGGACCTTTTCAGACAAAGCAGTAGTTTTGAAGCGTTTTGGTCAAGCGAGTAACTGCTACTGGACAGTGTTAGTAGGGTTTTTTTGTACAATCACAATGCATTGTTAAAAGTGATGGTGCAGTTCTAGAAATGGGAGATGTAACCAGAAGTATGGCTCAGTTTTGCTCTTAACATATAATGATCAAAACAATTTGATGATTGATTGTCAGTGACTGAACTAGGAAATGAAAGTCAACATGTTTGCAAATGGTCAGATTAAAATACCTTGACACTCAGCTGCTGTGGGTTACTGCATGTTGATCATTTCTGAAAGATATTAACAATTTAGCAACCACCTGTCATGCTTTCAAGCAATTAGCACATAACACAGAAATGAAACACCAAAACAGTAAAAAAGTATGAAAAGAAATCATTTCAACTAAAAAAATCCCTTACATGTCTTGCTACATATCGGTAATGTTTCTCCCATCATAAACCCATACTTAAAGCTTGCATGTCGGCTGTTCAGTGAATACATACTTCACATAACACAAAAAAAGTGTGTAACAATGCCATTATTCGAACCTTTTCTCAATACAAGACAACCTTATTCAGCTGATTGCGCTTTAATAGGCAGAAAGTTTGGTACAAAGGCTGCGCTGTAAACATTCATTTTCTTTGCTTTATCAATAAATACTGCAGGAAAACTTCACATTTCCATCCACATCCAGGACAACAAAATCATTTTAAAAAACATGATCAAATTCACAGCTCCAGCTGTTTCAAGTGGATAAGGCAGACACATGTAGGGAGTATTTACAAAAACAAAAAAAGACCTGATTTTTAGATCCACAACTGACGTGCTACGATCTGTTCTGATGGCGCCATAATCGTATTATTTTCCATCAGTGTAAAGTCAGTGTCAAGTATCAATCCCACAGTGCTGCTGCACCCTTTCTTTTAAAAAAAAAAGACAACTTATGGCAGTCCTTTACTGGATGTAAGTGGTGTTCAATGCCTTCCTGAGCACCTAGTTTAGGATCTAGAAAATACACACAAAAAACACTCAGGTTACTCAGAGATTTCGATAAGGACCGACGTGTCCGATTGACCAGATTTACCTGTTTGGCCACTTCCGTCCAGCAGATGGAGCCAAAGCAGTTTTTCCTTTCTGGACTGCATTTGTGGGCGACTGCAGGCCTTTGACATGAGTCTGCCCCTAAATGGACAAAGAAGACATGTCTTTTTGTTCAGTAAGGCAAAGTGTCAGTTTCTCTGAGCACAAATGAACAGATGAAGTTACCATTAAAGGTTTGGTAAGAGGACACGGCGGTGGAGGTCTGGTTGGAGGGTCTGGACGATGTTTATTTATTGCTGAAGGCTTTGTCTGGCTTTTAGAATCCTCGGAGGGTGAGGATGGAGGCCCTGGTATTGCAGGCGTAGGTGCTTGGTGTGGCCTCTGGCCAGTGTCTTGAGCAGAATTAAAGGGAGGCGGGGTGTAACCCTGAGGAGAGATTTGTCTCGGAGGAGAGGCCACCGGCCGGACCTGAGGCTGCGAGGTCTGCTCCCTCTGCTCAGCAGCATACGCAGGTATGGGTGGGGGTTTCACCGTTGGCCGGACGATAGAGTGTCTGGAACGATTTGGGCAAGATGGGCTCGGCCGAGAAGAAGCCTTCAGGCGTGGAAGAGCACAAACGACAAAATTCAGTTACGTTCACGAAGTCAGAACATTTGGGTGTAGGTTGAACGTGAGATGGCTCTTTTACCGGGTCCTGCTTTTTTAGCAAGAAAGCTGGGTTGGAATGACCGTTGACTGGACCACTTGCATGCGGAGGCTTGCCCTCCACCGTGGCTGAACATCTGAGGATTAAAACAGAAAAAGCTCAAGTCATGAGCCTTTGTCCCTCTGTGCACGTCCACACAAGATGACGACTAAGCAAACACCTACAAACTGTGGATCTTTGATATTAAACACCTAATATGTACATACTTTGGCACTGATGGTGGAGCTGAGGCTTTAAGGGAGCGGAGTTTCTGTCTGTAGAACCACCAAAGTCCAAGGCCAGCCAAAACCGCAAAGAGTGCCGAGGCAAGACCAAGCAGGGCTGGAAGAAGGCTGTCTTTTGGAACATAGAATAGACAATAATCATTTTAAAAAATAGATTGACTTTCAATAAATAGTTTGTAGTATACTAACAATAACATCATAGTCTTGCAGGGGTCTTACTTTGGCCGGGGACAGGTCCACTATCTATACTCCCCCCTGAGCCCCTCTGGTCACACAGAGGAGGAGCCCAGCCGGGGTCGCAGTGGCAGTGGTGGTTGTTGTTGCAAAGCTGGTAAGAAAAGACAAGATGTAAGTCTGCACAGCTCTGAAATAATTCGAGTAAACTTGGAATTTCCTCATTTGGAAAAGTTTAGACACTGTGACAACTGTGAATTCTAAGAAAATCCTGCAGCCGATCATTTTCATACTATGTACCGAATAATACTTTCATGCTTCTAGTTAATAATGTTTCTACTCGTACAGAGGCAGTCTCACATTGCTGTGCTGCTACTCTAAACTGCACAAGTGATCTGGACAGGTGTTATACTGCTGCAAACGACACCTGCGTTTCAGAACTGCGGGCCGGCTGCCAACTGTTCCGCGTGAGTCCACATCCAGCACTCAAGCTGATACGCACAGAAACTTACTCCGTGTCCTTGGCACTTGGCATTGCACTCGTCTGCTCGCAGAAAAGATGCATTGCGGCACTCTCCATTGAAGCAAATCTGGAAGAGGATTTAAAAAGGGGGTTAGGGAAAACAGCTTAGTGTGACCGAGATCCCGAAAAGAGATGTAAAAAAAAACAAGCAAAAAACTATCCCCACTGAGTCAGCGCCACACTTGGTCCCCGTCATGACCAGGCCTGGGTCCAGAGTGTCACCCTGGGACTCCTCGTCCCCCTGGCCCAGCTTGTAAACGTGTGTTCCCAAACACTGAATTCTCTTGCTGCCCACTCGGACTGTGGTTTCTATGCGAACAGCGTTGCTCTCAATGGGCTTGGTGGCTGACGTTGAACACTGGATTTTGCCACATTTGGAGTCCCTGGCATGCATAGAAATACAAATATTAAAAATATAAAGCTCAACTGCAAAAATTCAGAAATTCTTGACCGCATGGCTGAGCTTTTTGGTCTTCACCTTTCCACACACGTCCTGTATTTCCCATGAACATCTTTGCCACAGTTGCCGTACATGTCCCCGGCTTCATTTACTCTCTTAAAACACACATCGGGGGCGGGACGCCCATCTGTGGTTCGAAGGACACAAAAATAAACACCTAAAAAACACAATTACACCCACATATCCTGCACATGTGCCCACTGTGCACTTTGTGTCCCACCGACACCAGATGGACCCTCTTGTGCTTCTGAGAATAAAGCCAAACATCAAAGCCTGCGTTGGAAGAATCTGCCTCAACACGAGTCTGAATTCTCAAGAATGATTATTCATAACCCTTATTTATTGATGGCTCGTTTTTAGCCACACTGTGACTTTTCAGTGACACCCTCATCACACTGTGACTGGAATTTCCAGTTTCTAAGTTAAAAAAAGCCAACATGCTTCATGCTATGTGAAAGTGAGTTAGGCGACAATGAAGCCGATCATATTGAATAAATCCCTCAACTTATGGAAAATACAGTAGCTTTATCTAAAAGGTCCATGTCTAATTTTCTTTTAAATAACGCGCTAGTGTCACAAAAAACATTTTTGTTGTGTACACCACTCGAGTGAAGAAAAAGATGTCAAGAAGTTATCAAACCAGCCTAATTGAGATAAAGAGAGATTTAAGAGTTTTTATATTAATGATTCAAATCTGTCACTGATGATCCTCGGGTTTTCTCACAAAATACACCCTATTAGAATTTTTTTAAACAGGTGTTCTGCAACACCCAGTTGCCAGACTTCCCAAACAGGATGTGATGTAATTTCTTTTTTAACCGTCCCACACTTGTTCAGTTAAAATAATCGGTGGGCTTAAAACATTTAGCCATGGACTGTCTTTGATTTTTCTGCCAAGATATAGTATGTACAAGATATTGGCAGATGATATCCATCCAGTTGACCCACCTCGTCCCCACAGCGACCGACACTGCTGCTCTAATGTCAGACACATGCCAGTGTAGCAGTAAGCTTGCCCGTTTGCACACGGTGTGCCATCCACTAAATAAAAGTTAGCCGGGCAGGACTCTGCCTTTCCGTCACAGTGCTCAGGCAGATCACACGGCCCCGAGGGTGCCCGGCACAGCACACCTGGGCTCTTCAGCTGTACGGGGAAACACAAAAAAAAGAAAACGTATGAATGGTTTTTGCCCCCGCACCGCCAGTACTTTACTACAACTTTAGGACAGCTGCTGAGAAAAAGACCTTGCAGTTGTGACAGCAGACGCCGTGTGCACACTCGGCTCCGGCTTTCAGCGTGCAGTTGTTGGCATTGCAGCATGGACTGGTGCATTCCTGCACAAAAAAAAGTGTAAAGTGAAGAGGCCCTGGAAAAAAAAAAGCCCCCCGTGAAAACACCCACTGTACTCAGACTGACCTCCTCCTCCCCGCAGTCACATTCCTCTCCATCCTCCAGGTAACCATTGCCACAGCGCTGGCCTCCGTACATGGCCTTGGTGTTGGGTAAGTTGAAGAGACACTTCCCTCCCCCAGAGTTCAGATAGCTCCTTAGCTCCTTCAGGTTGCAATCGTTAAACAAACGTGGAAATGGATCCCTGTGCCAGACGAAGGAAGGAGCCCAGAAGCGTGATGTGAAGTCTAACGCAGTCACATTTCTACTCTAAATAATCCAATATTTTATCTAACTTCTGTGGACTAAGCAGTGGGCTAAGTAACTGCACCGTACCCAGTGGCTGCTGCCATGATGCAGCCTCCATCTTCCGCACTCGCCCGGCAGCAGCCTGGCGTGTCGTGACTCATGCCGAAGTTATGGCCCATCTCGTGGGCCATGGTGGCAGCAACACCAAATGGCAAGTCTGAGTGGTCCTGTGTAGCAGAGCAGTGAGCTGATCACGTCATGCTACCGTATTTCATTTTGTGTGCTGATATAAGGGGACTAAAACCTAAAGAAAACAGGCTTAGGTTTCTACAGACTTCAGTGAATTGTTTTTGCAGTAGAGGATTATTTATTCCAACTGTCAACAATTTTCTGCTGATGATAATGAGTTGCTTTATATCAGGCCTATTGTAGGATAGCAGTACTGACAGAATTGCAATATAAAAACAGAACATCATTGAAGTCAGATGTTTTTAACTTTTTTTTCTTAAGAGAAGCTAAAAAGGAGGTTTGAAATATTTGTATTATCATTGTTTTCGTCCATGATAATCAGGCTTTGCGTCAGATCTTGTTGAAAAGCCTTTTGTACACAATGAATAAATAAAAAAATACCGCATTAACTCCGCCAGACTGGTATTCGGAGCACATGGCTTTGAGAGGTGCAAGCCCAATGGTGGTGCCCTGGAATGCCTTCCCCCTAAAGACAAATGTACCACTGGTAATTAATTCCAACTGGACAGTAGCCCACTGGGGTACACCTGGTGTTTATTATTATACATAATAAAGTTAATCAAATGAAAGATCTTTCCCAGGGGAGAAATAGGACTCTAGAGTTGGAGAGGGTGAGGAATGATAAATGGAAATCCTTTGGGCTGGGGGGGGGGGCAGTGACAGATACTTACGTTATAAGCTGAGCATTGTCATTTGCCAGATGGTTTAGCTGTTTGCTTCTCCAGGACAGAAAGGCTGCCAGAGTGCTATGTGGGTTATCGGACACATTGATCCTGTCCTGGTTGTTCCAGACCTCCAGACCAATCAAGGCCACTCGAATACTCAGAGCCTTGTAATACTGTCAGAGTGGCCAAAAACAGGAGGAAAATATCTATTAGAAATCAGCCGAGGTGATTTAAAGCGTCTATTTGTGGAATGGTTTTGCATGAAATCCTACCTTGTCAACCAGGTTGGCCGCTTCGAGCAGTTTCAATTTAGTTTTGTCAAGATCACTCCCATGCCTCTCGAACTGCACAAAACATTCACACCGAACACATAAACAGACAATCCCCCACGTATTTCAGTATTCTTAACATCCCTCTAACAAAAAAAAAAGAAAAGAAAAACTGATTCATAACCCTGGGTGATATAAGTTTTAGAATTTCCCTGTTGACAGCTTATGCTAAAAAAAAAAAAATATATATATATATATATATGTGTGGTTCACAGAAATACTGGTCATCACAGAAGGCTAAAACCGTGGGCTCTCCTCCAAAGAACTTATGACGTTATAAGTGATACTTTATGTCTCCAGGCAAAGGTCTTATACCAAATATAAGCATTACAGCGTTCTCACCTCCGCCTTGTCTGCCACAAGCAGCAGCTCTACGTACTTCATGTTCTGACCAAGTTCCCTTTTTTCCTGCAAAAAGAGAAAGCACAATAAAATCTTCCAACGGCCATGACAGCGGTTTCGCTACTCCTCCTCCTCCTCCTCCTCCTGTCTGCACCCACCCTCCTGCCCCGTGCTGACATCGGTCCGCGGATAAAGTCGGCCAGCCTGCTGTCATGCTCACTGTCACCATGGTGATGCAGACAGCTTCCCCTGGGCAGACGGAGGCTCTCGGCTCTGAAGACAGCGTGTTGCTGAGCATCCGTTGAGTTAGGGAGTGGTTCTATCAGGTAACTGGTGCTCATGTTCAAGGAAATCAATCCCCTGGGGAAAGGAGACACAACAGATGGTTCCTTCTTGTGAGTTTCAGGAAATATATACTTTTTTTGCATTCTCCTCCTCTGAATAAAAATAAATAAATCAGATAATAATTTCAATTTCCAGGAGCCATCATCAGTTAGATCTTTAATATGCAGCAGAGGAAAAGAGCACGTGTCTCATATTATTACCGTCTACCGACAGAAATTAGCTGCAAATTGACACAGCCAGACACAGTCCTCCTCTTTTGTGAGCACAGATGCGCGCACACACACACAAAAACGAGCGCACACACGGATCAGGTCACGCAGCTGCAGAAAACATCTGGAGAAGTCAGATGCTGACTTATCAGCGTCAGGCAAGGCTTTGTTTGCATTCCTCCAGTGTATCCACATTAACCGTTAGACTGTATTCATTTACTCAAGATGCAGAGCAGTGACCCAGAATAAACACTCATATGGCTACAAATTCTGGCAGCAATCGTGAGTTCCTCCTATGCTGCCGGCCTCGCCTCTCTGAGAGCCTCCAGCAGGAAACTTCAGCCGCTCTGGAGCCACATAAGGACAAACAGCAGGATCTGAACTGAGCTGTACTTGATGAACCAGCTCTGAAGCCAAAGACCTGTTAACCTAAGGGACTACATGAAATATTTAATGCTCTATTTCCTGTCATTTATTCTTCAACAGTTTGATTGCAGCCTAAAGAATTGGGCACGAATCCCAGCATTACTTTGTTTGAAGGCAAAATCCAACATATTTCTGCACACCAGTGACCTTTCTTTTAAGTAGGTATAAATCTTTCATTCCTGGCATTTAACTGATACACATTAACTACATGGGCTGGACTGTATTCTGTTTTGTGACATCTGACACAAACAGAGTACTTGTTTCTGTCTCCAAGTTCTAAATCAGTAGGGATTCGGTTTGATCTGAGACCGTGTAGTGTTTTTCTTTCTATGCCCGGAGAAAACTCTAAATATCTGGCTTTTCAATTCTCACCTGAGTCCTGAACATGTGCTGACGGCGACGCTGGAATCTTCCCAGCCCAGAACTTTGCCATGATAGAGACAATGTCCCTAGAAGACAAAATAGAAAATATGAGGTATGAAATGTATCAACCGTAACATTTTTTTTTAATATCTTCCCTCAGCAATCATTTATAACTCCCCTCTGCAGCTCAAAAAACACCAAAATGTCTCTCTAGACTCACAGCATTGGCAGGAGAGGAGGACTTGCGTGCTCCATCACGGGTGTACCATATTTCCTGATATCCAGGGGCCAACAGCTGCCTGGTGAAAGTCAACAGAAATGCAAACACAACAGAATATATGTTTTGTCAGACATTCAGTCTACGAAAACAGACAGAATCTGGACGCCTGGAGGACAAATATATGTACCTGTGTGGGTACATAACGAGAAACATCTGGTTGGAGATAAGTGAGGACATGGCCTCTCCTGCAACCCACATATCATTAAATATTCATTTTGACAGGCTCAACAAAACCAAGCTGCTGCAAAGATGTAGACAGAGATTCATTCTGAGATAAGAAAAAAAATACTACTAACTAAATTCTAAATAAGTGCTCTAATAAAACCCATATGTACCTTCCCTAAATAATCCTTCTATTTCCTGGGCAGTGCAGCTGAAAAAAGGATGCTAACTTCCCCATGCTGAGGGTTGAAGCCATTGGAATGTCCAGACTGCATTTCGTTGACAGGGCTATTATTTACCAAAGTTTTTTTTTCTCTCTCCAGTATAGAAATTTCTCAACTGTTTTACAAGACAGTCTCCACGGGAAAAGCTGATAAATCACACGCGCATATGTGTGCAAACACTAATTCGATTTGGGTAATACATTAAATTCCTCTTATCCTCCATCTGTGTGTATGTACATTTGACAGAGTGTCTTTGGACTCAGACCAATACCGATGCTTATTTTCTTGTCTTACTCCTTCCAACTGTGGCTCAATCCATTCTTCCTGTTTTCATTCATAAACTTTTGTCTGCCTCACAGCTGGTTTTCTTTTGCTCTCTCTCTCAATCTCCTATCATCACTGCTCCAAGGGGTCTAACTCTGTTTCTTTAAACAGTCTGCAGCTGCAGCAGAATCAGACTAAAGAGAAACCTGCATGTGCTGGCTAAAGTATCCGATCTGACTCTAACTCAAGACTGAAAGACAGTCTTTGAATTTTCATGATATATTGTGTATTGTCTTACATTTTTCCTTCTTGTACTGTGCTATTGTGATTTCAAAATTTTGAGGTGCTAAAAGATATGCTGCATTCTCCTTTACTACTGAACCTGTCAAAACTTGCATTTCCATTCTCAAGCACTTTTTGTCTGATAGATTCTTTTAAAGAAAGGATACGCAAAATGTCAAACAGCCCCACATTTCTGGCTTTAATGTTAAGCTTGCTCCCTGCTGGCTGTGGCTTCACATGCAGATAACAGACATGAAAGTGAAATCTCAAAGGAATGCAACCAAAAGCAATTCCCCAAATGCCAAACTCTCCCTTGAAAGCATGGCATGGACAAATGACAGGAAGGACAAATTGCCTGTTCTTCCCCTCTCAGATACAACCTAAAACAATGACACCATGTTGATGCGCTCAGCGAAAAAAGTCAAAGAAGAAATGGCTGTTTCATCCATTCACAGGAGGAGGAAGGCGTGTGTGTTCACACACACACACATATACAGAGATCGGACTTGAAAATGACCATTTGTTGGTATCGTATCCGGCTGATCTGACCCTAAACAGGGTAACCCCTCCATCACTTTGTGTCTTGACCTTCTGACCAGATCTGGACTTCTTCTAGCTTTTTTGCTTTTGTAATTCTTCAAAGGTTCCCATCACATCTCTCATCCCCGTAACCCCATGTCACGTTCAAAGAAGGAATTAATGGCAGGACAGCTGATGATCGACTGAACTTAACCCTTTCGCTGTCTCACATCATAAAAGAAACACATTTTCTTCTTCTGTGGGAAACAAATTAATAATGACCGCTTCTCCACTCTCACTTCTGCTCACATGCAAGTCAGCAGCTTTGTGTCTGAGATAAACCACACTGACATTGTAGACCTGGGGGGCAACAGTGTGTATACACTAGGAGATTGATGGCTATATAACCTGTCAAGGCATGGCAGGAAGACACAACATGCCACCAATAAAGCTGTGTAACAAGCATTAAAAGCTAGTAATGCCTGTAACACACCTTGGTCCAGCTTTTGTTAATTAAGAAAATAATAAAGGACCTTCACACTTTCTTTTTGCACCTTTATTTTGTGACAGTTCAAGTTTTGTTCTGTCTGCTTTGCTTATTTGTGAAAGTTACGCATTTTTTTCTGGTTGTGTGACATACTTGTTAGTATATGCAGCTTACACAGAAATCCAAGTGCTCAATTTTTTTAGGATTAAAAGGTTTCATGATGGGGAAAATAATTTAAAAGCTAAACTTTAGGTACTGTAAAAGGAAGGAATTTTCCACCATCCAAAACTCCAACCTCAGTCATGTCATAAGGGGTTGTGTATCAGCGTATTCCTGTACTGGATTATGTCACCATCAGACTGGACAAATAAATACAAAGTTTTTCTCCGGTTTTTCATATCAACAAACTTACTCTATATTAATGACTGTAAATTATCTCTTAATATGATTTGCAGTTTATTTAATTAATTCATTCATTTACCATATCTGCTATATCTTAATCATTGTTTCATAAGGGTGGCAAGCTATTTCAGCAACCACTGCGAGGAGGCATGGAGGCTCATTTACCATACAGCATAATCAAAGCAACCTCAAACAGTCAACTTGCAGGTGTAGTCAAACATGCAAGTTTCACTTTTACTCTTCCAGCGTCCGTATGCAGGATGTTTTCTGCCTGACTAAAAGTTATGTTTGAATATCCTTGCCTGCGTATCTGTTTTCTCAATGATCTCTCTTGTATTTTCCAGAAACCTTGGATGAAACCTTAGACTCTCTTTGTTTAAAACCATTCAAAGAGCAACGCGTTTTAGAGATTTAAAGACAGTCGTACAGATTTTGGCTAATTGGCTAATTTGACTAATTTTCTTTTTTCCATTAATCTCCCACTTCACCATCCATTACTGAGGCTGCATGTGCATCGTCGCTACACAGATAGCAGGTTATCAAGAACAGAGGTGTTTTTGACCTTCATTGCACAGACAACTTTGCCTGAGTTGCTGGCGCCATGGACAATTTTTTTTATTTATTTTTTTACCGTCAACCACCGAAAGACTCTGCCTCTGTAAACACTCAGAGTCTGATGGCTAATTGCATTTGGTTAGACGTTCGGAGAGCTCTCCAATCGAGCCTTTAAAAGCCTCTGCGTGACGGCGCGAGTGCAGCTCGACAACGTTTGGATGCCATCCAGCGCTCAGACACACGCCGCGATTGAGGACTGCAGCACTGGCTCAGTCTGGCAGCCAGGCTGAGACAAAGGGTTGGTTCAACATCAGGAGGAGAAAGAAGTAGTGGGGGAGTAATGCTAATGTACTCGGTTGATAGTTGGGGGGGGGGAGAAAGGAGAAGGGGATGTGGGGTAATGCATTTTGAGGTCAGTGGGTTGCATTCTCTCATAGTATCGGATGACATCACCACCCAGGGGTGGAGGGGTGCGAGGGAGAAGGCCGATGCAAAGTCAAACTTCCACTCAGTAATGGATGATGAAGAGGCTTTTCTTGCATAGGGGAGGACGTGTGAAGGCATGGGGGGAGACAGAGACGTCCAAGCAGCAAGAGCCACAACAATGAGACTAAACATACACACAGGAAAAACAAGGACAAGTTAACAAATCCCCAGCTCTCCTCTCCCCCGACCTGCAGTCCATCAGGCCTGCGCTTCAAGTTTTGTTTTTGTTTGTTTTAGAGCTGTGTGCGTGTGTGTGTGTGTGTGTGTAAAAGTGAGACTCCGTATGTCATCCGTCTGCGTGTGGTCACTGACCGCAGAGCATGCGTGGGCAGCTGGCAGTATTTTTGTTCCAGAGCCCTGGGGAATATCGAGCGAGGTGAGAGGAGGATAGAAATGAGAAAGAATGGGGTGCTCGTTTCTCAACCGGTCAGCATAAGAAATATGACGAGGGGACAAGATAAGAAGTCAGAGGAGGAGGAGGAGGAGGAGGAAAGGAGAGCGAGAGGCGAAACAATGCAGGCTACATTTCCCGGAGGAGTGCTTAATTCAGGTTCATGCACTGAGGAAGGGCATTAAACTGAAGAATAGAGAAAAGTCGCACCGAGGAGGAAGCTGGGAAATCCACAGGAATCAAATCTGATCAAGGGAGATAGAACTCACACCCCTGTGAGCTTCCACCGTCTCTCCTTCCAAGAGTTGTGTCACCTCAACCCTTCTCCTCCGGCCCATCTCTCACCCTGTTGCGCTGTTTCCTTCCCTTCTCACTTTGCTTTTCCGCCACTCCTCCTGCTCTCTGAGTCAGCACACGCTCTGGCCCTCGCCTGCCTCTTAACTTAATCAAGCCTCTGTGTGCGCACTGTAGCCTTTCATTAAGATAAAAGCTCGCGCAGGCACACATCCATACCAATGAAGTGCAACTCGTGTGCGCGTTCACCACGATAAGCCCCGACCGGGGAGGACAGGAATGGATGGAGTGTGGAATTCAGCCACCGTGAAAAAGACTCACTGTCATGGTTTCTTCCATGCTTTGATTTGTTGCTCCATGTCTAGATGAGGTGAAACCAGATAAAAAAGGAGGACAGTGGGGGAAAGATTGCTGTTGAATGCTGGGGATGAACACAAAGATGAGATTAAACTACTCTGGACTCACCCTTTTATGCTGACTGTGCAAGTATCACGGTTTTAGGTGCAATGAGGACACAAAGGAGTAGCCAGGACACATGAGAGGGGACTGGCAGCATTCTCTCTGGCTTTTATCCAGAGTCTGACATTAATCTTCCTTGACACAAACTGCACTCTTCCTGAGCCCAGTGTTAGTCTCAGATAGCCATTTCTGTCTCCGGATTAGAGGACAAATCAAAGTACGGCAAGCCAATATGGGATGCTTTGTTTAGGAGCAGTCTGAGGGAGTTCAGCCTTGGACTAAACGACTGGACTGAACAAAGAGAACTAGCCAGCTACCACTTGAAAGTTATACAATGATTCTGTAACAGACCAAACATCAATTTTTGGACAGGACTGAAGGAGGTTCCATAATGGACAATGACCACATGGTCACAACTATACTTGGCCGATAATATCAGAAAGGACATTCACCGATAGATCCATGTCTATTCTTTTAGCATAAAATTAGCAAGTAAAAGAACAGTAAAAGGGATTGGCAGCAAGAAAAATGGCGACAAAGTGTTTTAAAGAAATTCTTTAAAACACTTTGTCGCCATGTGGTCAAAATATTTCTGGTACGATAAATATAAACATTGTGGCAACGTTTCGACAACATAACAAACAGAAGAATTGGAGGCTCTTATCCAGCTGTAGGGTGGGGGGTCATAAAAGGATGAGGTAGAAGTAGAAATGAGTCAGACACTAGATACGAAACCGATTGAGAAATTGATCAATTTCCTGTAGACTATATGCACAATGGATTTCTATGGTTCACTGCAAATGCTGTTATAGGAAGCCTCCAAAGCTTAATGCCAAATATTCCTAATCAGAAAAAAACTGCTAAATTATGCCTTAAAGCCCTTTTCCACACAATATTTTAGCTTTTATTATTGTGTCACTGCCAAAACTCCAAGGAAATAACTTACCTGCTAGTAAATCTCATAATGTGATATATGTTTGTTTCATTTGCTGTCAAAAAGAAAAACGAGAAGGAAAAACTACTTCAGATCTGACTACAGCATTTCTTTTCAACTGAAATGAAGCTCTGTTTTAGCGAATTAGTGAAGACATGTTACACCTTTGGCGTGCTGTTAGGAAAGATAAACACTGTTATAGAAGGTGTTGCAAAATGCATTACTTAATGCCACTGGTCAAGTTGTTCAGTTTCCTCTTTCATCAAAGAGTTTGTACATTTTTTTCTGACAGTTTACCACCATAATCTTCTTAATGGAAACTGACGGTTAAAGTCTAATAAAATCATCCTGGCAGATCAGTTCGCTCTCACTCCCTTTATGTTTTCTGACACTTTGTGATTGATCAAAACTCTTTGCCCAGGAGGAAACTTAACAGCATGACCGTCCGCTGAGCAGAGCCCTCAGGGGGCAGAGCCCTCAGGGGGGCGGTCGGTGAGACGTGGTGGAGTTGTGCCTTCTGTTTGGATGACTCTTGGTGAATGACCACCAGAGGGTAAAAAACTGACTTACTCCCTAATGCTAAAAAAAAGCCTCAAAGTCCACTTGTGTGTTGGCTCAAATCCAAAAGTGATAAACATTTGCCCTTTTGTCAGCGACGATATCTCAAGACCTGCAGCTCTCCTTGCCACCAAATAGGTAAGATACAAAGCTCTCTTCCTATCAGCATCCCATTGTTGCTGGACAGGAACCGCTCCATCAGATTGCAGGATGTCGGGCACAGAGGCACAGTCTCACTTCCTGTCAGCCCGATGCACACACAGATCGGGTGTCAGCCCTCTGTTGTCCAGAAACATCCCCCCTCTCATCACCCAAAGGGGCATCGACCTTAGAAATGTGTCTTTGTGACAGCAAACATCTGGTCAAGTAAACGGGACTGCTGGTAAAAACCCCTTAAACTGCTAATTGTGACGGATAATATAGGTTTTGTGCGACGATGCCCACAATTGACTCACCGGTTTTTCTCCAGGTGTAGTCGGAGCTCCTGCCCTTCAGCGGAGATCACAGCCTGAAGCTCTGCTGGGTGCTGACAAGGAAAAAAACAGATGACAATTACAGTCCCCTTTACTTGACCAGGAAAAAAAGCTGTAAAAGCTGACAGATCTATTCATTATCTGTCATTTTTTCCCCTGTGAGACAGAAAAAGTATATGAACTCACATCTGTGGTGGAAGATCTCTTTTGCCTGACAGGATGCAGCCATGTGGGGAAAGTAATTTCATAGTTCTGGATGTGATGGAGGATGCCCCTCTGCGAATCCTCTCCTGATTAGAAAAAAAAAAGGAAAAAGAAAACGTTAAAAAAAAACTGCAGAGCACACGCTTTATGGCTGAATCTTTTAAATAAATCAACAAATGCTGAAATCGACGGAAACCATCCTCGACATGCACGTGGTGCGACGGCACCTGGAAGAGGACGCTGTCAGATGCAATGTGGTGATTCTCTCAAGAAAAAAAAAAAGGTCTCGATGTTTACGGGAGAGAGCAGACTCACCGTAAACACCGGCAGCGGCGACGCAGAGCAGGGAAACCGTGAGGAAGAGACACAGAGAGCACCGCGCAGCATCGGGAGGAAGAGGAGGAGGAGGAGGAGGAGGAGGACGCGCTCCTGGAAGCATTCTACACGCAGACGGCTCCCGACGAACTGGCGAAACTGACACATAAAGAGCAGGTCTGGGAGGTTTCACGGGAGATGGAGAGAGGGTGGCCGGGGAGACATCGCAGAGGGGCCGCCGCCGCCGTTAGTCTGAGTGAGATGCGCACATCCCCGCTCCACCATCAGCCCCTCCCCTCCGGCTGCACGCGCGCACACACACACGCACGCACGCACGCACGCACGCACGCAGACACCGAGCCGTCAGCCTGATCTGAGAGAAAAAGGCAGGCCAGGATGTGATGAAACGACGTTCAAATGAGCAAAGACGAGGCTCGGAAATCACGATTGCAGAAGCGGAGGTCCCCACAAGCTGCGCACGGACCGAGCAGAGCGCCATCTGACCCCAAACACCCAACAACCGGCGTCCAATAAAAACATTAGGCATCGCCAAGTCATTGTAGAAGGATGCTAATTTATTAGAATAAGTACATAAGCATTAGGCACAGTTTCCATTATACTATAGAGACTGGCGAGCAAAAACAATATGCATCACATTTTAAATGATTACTTAAACCTATGTGAAAATCGACTAGGAAAGTAAGTATATGTGTGAGTGTACACACACACACACACACACACACACACACACACACACATATATATGGAAAATTTCTATGCTGCATTCACTGGACCCTCGAACTCTGATTCTAATGCCTATCTGCAATTCTGAAAAAAACAAGGAAAAGGCTTCCTAAAATAAGTTTAATTTTTATAATAGTTTAGGTAAGACACCTCAAACCAGACTGAACAAATGTTGTCTCATCCTTTGCTAAGGTTACGCATCTAGCCACTAAAGTCTCAACGCAATGACACCGTCTGTCTCCCATATTGTGAGAATGTGTTGGAATCAAAATGCTGGTTCGGGTAGAATGGAGCGTTATACATGATACCCCAAGGAAATAAAAAAAAAGACTGGTCTCATCATAATAAAGCATAGAATTTTCTGTTTTTTTTTCTTCTCTAGCCAGTTGCCCCAAAGGTTTAATGTTATGCCACAGCATGTAAATACATGCCATCTTTAAATAACTACGCCACATGCCTCAACATGCTTTAATTCCAATGGTCCCCTCTCGTCTGAAAGCCCACATGTTGAATCACTGTGTACAGTTCCAGTGACCCATGCGACTGGATTGAGCCACATAATTAGTTTATGTTAAGTGTTTGTATTAATCTGAATCTGAAGAAAAAGGCCCCTGTGACAACATTTGATTTCAAATTCATGACCAAGAAATAAATAAATCCCGTCTTGTTACATTAAGCGCAGCGTTGTAACCACATGCTTTAAACAAGGTCACAGAACCTAAAAATACACTCAGCAGTAACTGACCTCGCTACAGTAACAAAATACAGTAGGCTTCCACCTCAGCCGGCCGGCAGCCACTCATACTGGACCGGTCATTTCTAAGTGCGATGATAAATAAGCCCCGGAGCACATGTTGGCCGGGCAGAGTGTATGCAGGGTGTGCGCGGTATTCTTAGCACCGCTGACAGTTCTGGCCAACAAATCCACTCACATCTCTAAATGGCGTGCTGGCAGGAGGACAAGCCCGCTCGTCTCTGTCGAGGTATTGGTTTCTGCTTCCCTCCCATTACTTCGGCTTCACATAAACCTTCCTCTGTGACACTTCCTGAACCCAAACACTTGGGGCAAAGAAAAAAAAAGAAAAGAAGAAACAAACCCTCCGTTGGCAGAGAGTGAACATGCCCAACATGCGGAAAGATCAAGTATCGGTAGTAGTCTACATGCCATTCATGATATCGGATTGTGATGTATTTTTGGAAAAGCAACCCCAGGAGAGGGAGGCGCGCTGGTACTGAGATGCATGCTGTGCTTAACCTCAACAGCCCAGCCGCAGAGGATCATCAGATAACCTGCTCCACTAAGAGCGCCATCACACTTAAAATGGTGACAGAATCTAAGAGACAAAAGTCAGCGTGTTTTTTGTTGTTGTCAAGAATCACATACATTTCCCCACAGAATGATTTGGTTTCAGATATTGCCCTTTCGGGTTGTCTTCCCATCATGGTTACAGGTGTTTATGCAGGCAGTATTGAGGCGTGGCTCTGCTGCTTGAGTGAGTTTTGATATGAGTAAGCCTCAACCACGCTGCTCAGAGGAGTCCAGAGGCGTTTCCCCTAGAGACGTGAGGAGCTGTTAGCTGTTGTCATTCTCCAGGATGTCTGGGTGCTCCTCCCAGAACTGGTCCCCTATAATGTCGCTGTGGTGGGCCTCCACCCTCCTCCTGCTCCGTGTGACAGGCACCTCCTTCTCCTCCTCATTAGGTAGCTTTAGGCGTTTGGTGACAGTCTCATCTCGCTATAAAAAAAAGGAGAGAACCATGAGTGCTGCGGGTATAAAGTAATTCACTGTATTGACGCATCCCATCCTCATCTTTACTTTAACAGAACAGAATATTTAATATTAAAACTATGCTTAACCAGAATTCTTAAACCTTGACTGGTTGGTGTGAAAGAAACTAGCAGAATAATATAATAATAATATAAACTGACAGAAAAATAACACAGCTGAATATGCAGAGAACATCTTGAACTCTGCAGTTACAAACTCTAAAAAGGTGGCTGGGCTTAGAGAGGCTTCCAGTGAAGCATGCTGTCTGTTCTCCAGAACAGTCAGTATGACATACTGCTCTTTTATATTTGACTCTGCAGGAGGCACCACTTTGGAATTCTTCTCCTCAGACATGATGAAAACTTGATGTAAACACAGATGTGGTGAGGCAGAGTTTTACTTCATCGCCCCAACAGACACACAAACAACCTCCATTAAACCAATAACAGCAGTAGCTTTATAAGGAATGATATAAAAACCATTTTTTACCACCTGGGAATCTCTACCCAAGCGTTCTTGTGATATTGTCAGTGGAACATAAATTGATTTCTATGTGAAAATGTGCTAACGATGTGGAATTCCATTACACCAACACCGTGGTTCTCTGATTGGGAGGGTGGAGGAGAAACTAAATTAAGGGAAACCTGAGATGTTTCCAGACATGAACATCGACTACTCTAATGGTTTTGGTATGAGCGAACCCAGTTCATGACCCGACTGGACCTGCAGAGTAACTAACAGGATATCTCACGCTGCCAGAATAATTTTACACACAGGAGGGTTTAACACCAGTGGCAGCTGGTGTACTCCTGCCTAATTCTCGCTCTCTATAAAGCCCTATGTAAACCCCAACCTCAAAATAAGCATGCAAATACATCTTTCTTTCTACCTGTAAAAAAATTCCAAGTTTTGTATCATTGTGGGCTGCGAAGATCAGAGCAGAACAATCATATTTGAGGGGCTGATTTTATTATAACTGTGGATTTGATTTGTCCTTCAGCAACCTACCTTCTCCCAGATAAGGGTGGTGCCTTTCCGGTGGAGGGCGGATTCTTTGTTGTAGTTGATGTCAAACTCTGAGAAAAGGATCTCATTTTTATCTGCGGCTAATGTTCCCTGAAAAGGAACAAACACAGTCAGACGTGGTAAGAAATACTGTTAAAATGAATAAATATTGATACAATTGGGAGTGTCCATAAAATCAGCTTTTCTGCTCGATATATTACTATAATACAGAGCTTTTCAAGAATACATAACCAGACAGCACCACCCACTGGTTGCATCCCAATTACAACGATCCGGTTCCCCCAGAAGAACGAAATGAACACAGAAATTGAAGTCCCGCTACTAATACCAGAAGTTCTCAAACTAATAATGACATGATTAGAGCTTGATGCATCGTGAATGACTTCAGTTGCCTTTAACACCCAGTTAGATGAAGTGTCTCCACCACTCGTCTGCTGTGTCCCTCACAGTGAAATTAAAGTGACTTCTAGATAACAGCTGCATCAGAGCCAGACAGCTGTCATTGATGGTGACAGACTCTGCTCTGTTAATAATACATAAGGAGCCTATTGGAATGCTTTCAGGATTTATTTTCCATCAACTAACCCATTGTTTGTTCAGAAGTAAATGTCAATGAGCCCGTCAAACCTTTACAAACAGAAAGGTTTAATATATATTGTATTTGTCCAAACATGACGTGGCACATTTGCTTTATCAGCCATGAATTTTCTGCTGTCTTTAGAATGGCCAGTGTTAGGACATGATGTTAAATCACTCTGCTCTACTATGTGGGCTCTGGACCATTTGCAGAAATCAGTGTCTGGGGACACCACTCACCATGCAGGGCACAAGAACAGGATAGAGCTCTAAGGAGCCATGTGCAAACATGATCCAGAATCACCAGCTTCCTCTCTGGGCCTATTTAGACTAAACTGAGATAAAGTGGAACGCTGCTCTGTGGTCACATGAATCTAGATTTTTAAATCATTGAGGAAACAATGGGTGCGTACTCCTGGTGAGAGGAGAGGAGGACAGCCAGCTTGTTATCAGCATTTAGTTAGAGAATGTTTGCATTTCTGATGGGTTGTCTCTGGGTACTCTGGCTTCTTCCCACAGTCCAAAAACATGCATGTTAGGTTAATTAGATTCAAAGTTGTGCGAGGAGTGAATCACTGAGCATGTTTGTCTCAACATACTGCCTGATTAAGAAGGAAGGAAATGTAGTTTTTAGTCTTGTCTTTGTTCTGTTTATAGTTTAAAAAAAAATGTTTCATCCTATTATCAATATGAAGTACAGTGAATCCTTAAAATCCCATGCCAACGTAAAAATAGGGTTTTCTCTCACCTTTAAACGATCCTCTGCCTGTGCTGTGGTGAGTCCTCCTTTTTGTACCAAGGTCCAAAATACTGTGTTATACAAGTTATTTATGTGACCTGAAAAACATCAAAACACACACACCACACAGAGTTTAACCTTGACAACCGCTCATGATCTCATAATTAGGTAATGTGTATGATATACTTACAGTCTGCTTGCCTCCAGCTGAGATAGTCTCTAAGGTTACGGTTACATGGATACAGAACTACACGGCCATCAAAGCCAGGGGGGTACAAGAGGGGCTGTTCTCCAAAAAACTCCTTCCAGTAAAACACATAAGAAGAGGAGAACTGGGAGGCAACGTGGGTCATGAGCTTACTGCAATGGAAACAGAGAAGAAATTTTATCTTACACAAACCAGGAATGTTAAGAAGCTTGTGTGAGACAGCCAATCAAGAAAACTGGCTTACCTGGCTCTTCTTTTGAACCAGGTGGAGGACCTCTTAAACACGAAACTGAACTCATCACTTTGACCATAAGCGATGATGATATCCTCCAGTTCTTCCATGACAGAGCGCGCGCTCCGGGTCATCAGTCCCAACGCCCTGTTATCATTGGGCTTGGTGAACACATGCTGCTCTGAAAACCTGGGACAAATCGGCAGTATAAAAAGAACGCAATGTTTCGGAGGGGCCAGATTCACAGCCAGGTTTTCTCAAAGATGTTGAGAAAACTCACTTGTGGAAGTTGCGTCCATCAAGCCTGACAACGATGTAGCAGTTTCTCAGACAAGTATCGTCAGTTTCAAAGTTGCGCACGTATTCAAACTTGCTCTTGGCCATGTTGCTGGATGTGGCGAAAGGACGGAAAAGGGCTCTGACAGAACTGGACCCAACTCCAGCCCAAAACTGACAGACCTTACCTATTAGTGTGAAGAATCTCCTTAAAAGCGAAAACAGTAGGCACTCACAGATCGTGTATTAAAACACACATAACTCGATTGTAAATAGTCTGTGATTACTTACGCTTGACTGTCATGTGAGATGTTAGCACCTTAGCGTGAATATGGTTATCCGTGCAGGTTTATGTGATTACATTAGTATTATATTGAATTTAGAAGACAATATCTAAAAAAAACATACAAACAAATACAGCCATTACACCTTGCTTTCACACGCTGGTTTGTATACTGTCCGTCCCTGAATTTTGTCGTAGTTGTACAGGTCGTAACACAACATAGAAACGTTCCGCAGCCCTAAAATGAAATGCTGAATTTGATGTAATATAAAGTAATTGGCCTTTATTTCCTATTAATCGTATTGTAAAAACAGCACATTTAATATAAAATGTTATTATTCAATTAGGTTGAAAATATACAAGAACAAGAAGAAGACTGTCACGATGGTTATCAGAAATACCTTTAGTATTAGTATTATTGCGCCATCTTGTGGTCCACATCTAGAAAGACAGTTGTAACCATGAGCGTCTCGTTGGCGGTTGTGGGAGTTGTAGTTCATTATTAGACTAAGAACTGATTAGTTTGTCGAGAAAACTTTTAATTTAAGCTTATATATTCTATCATTTGAAAAAATAAACAAATGCAATTCAACACCTGCAAACTCGAAATCCACCACAAAAAAAGTTAATAGTCGAAGAATGCAATTTTCCCAGAATCCTTAGCTTCTCGGCGCTGCACTCTTCTGCGGTTGTTTCAAACATGGAGGAGACGGAAAGGAAAAGTGTCAACCCGGGTAGAGAAGAGCCGGCTGTGGAACCCTCCGCCAGCACATCGTCCAAAAACCCCGTTTGCAGTCTGGAGGCAGACAGTAAAGCCGCGGGCGGTGACGTAGAGCGGACGAATGTTTGTTCTGACATGTTTGACCCGCTGCTGGCCCTGTACTCTCCGACCCAACCGCAGGTCCCTTTTCCGAACATCAAGTGCTTCAACAATGTGGCAGAATACGAAAGCTTCCTGAAAGGTGGCAGGGGCCGAGCCAAACCGGAGAACGTTGAGAAAAAACGGTTAAAGGCCATGAAAGGCGTGGTGGACCAGGAGCGCATCGAGAGGCTGAAGAAGCTTATGGTGTCGGCCCCGGAGGAGGGGGAGAGCAGCGGCCCTGCCCCGCGGAGGAGGAGGCCGAAGCCGCAGAGCAACGTCCTCACCCGGATGCCCCGTACGTTCACCATCCGCCTAACACCTGAAGAAGAAAAAATAGTTCTGAATAACCATCTGTTCATTCAGTAGATGTCTGTTTTTTTTCATGCTTTTTTCTCAGTTTGTACACATTTAGCATCAGCACTCATTAATGCATTTTAAAATCTTGTCTTTTTTGCTTGAGCTGCATATCTGAAACGTGTCAGCTGGCTAATCTCCTTGTTCTGTGTCCTCAGTGTGTAAGGGCAGTCCTCTGGGGGAGCTCTACCGCTGCGTTGAGGAGAGGATACGAGTCAAAGTTCACATCAGGACCTTTAAGGGTCTGAGAGGAGTGTGCTCTGGCTTCGTGGTGGCCTTCGACAAGTTCTGGAACCTGGTCAGGGACCCCTCTTGCCGTCTGTCGCCGGTGTGTTTCTTCTCTTGGTGGTCATTAGGTGACTGGATCTGAATCCTTGTCTCTGGCAGGCGATGGTGGACGTCGATGAGACGTACAGGGAGCCTTTGTTTGGGGAAGCGCTTTACCACGAGAAGGCTCTAACCGTTACGCGGGTCAGTGCCATTTTTCTTTATCTTATTATTATTCAATGCATAAAGGCAAGCAAACGTTTGGGCTCCCTTGTTGTAGTGTTTGTTAGCATGGGCTGGTAAAAGTGAGTGCAAGAAAAACTGGTCCCCAGAAGGCTTACATCTGAACCATACCAACATTTTAAATGAGATAAAGACTCCTTTGTTGTTTTTTGAGCACTGGGATGGTCATTTGAGAACTTAAGTTCATAAATGAACTGTACTTATAATGCACTTCTTTTTTTTGTATAGTCTACAAGTATGAAGCATTTTTGCAATACAGCCACATTCACCCATCTCAAACTTTAGCTGTTTTCTTGGGGGTCTGTATATAGGAAAATTTGTCAAAGAGCAGCTGATGCAATTTTTTTTAAAGCCTTCTCAAAAATTCTAGCTTTTCAAGTTTTGTCCCCACAATTGGAGCTCTTAAAAGCTTCCACGGAGTCAAGACATGAGAGTAATCTTAAGGTGACTAACTAGGAGAAGGCTGTGAAAAGAGAGCAAAGAAGCCATCGCTTCGGAAGTTGGAAATTAAATGAAGAAATGGCTGAAGGATGAAGATGAATCCTTCCTCGTCTATAGAAAAAACCCTGAGAAAGAAATTAGGCTTTATCTGAAAGCTTCAGTCACCCAGACTAACCTGACAAACACGTTACATGGGAGCCAATAAGAGAATGCCTGAACCTTTTAGAACCATAAATGGCTTCAGATTGAAGATTTTGTTCCTGAGAAGCTCAGAAGATGATTATTTTGCACCCCACGTCTTACCCACGCATATTAATGCGCCTCTAATCTTTGTCCAGCTCTTCGAGAAGCTAAAGCTCCAGGAAAGCCCCGAGGGCAACGAGCCAGAGAAACATCAGGCATCTGGGGGCAAAGCCCGCCAGCATCAACCTGCAAATCCTAAAGCCGCTTCAAAAGGCTGCGCCGCTCCCGCCGCTGATGCGAGGGGGGGGGAGAGGGCGGAGCCAGGAGCTGCTCAGGGCAAGCAAGGTGAAAACAGAGTTCCAGCCAAGGCCCTTCAGAAAAAGGATTCCCAGACCTACGGGAAAGTCCGAACGCGCCACATCAACCAGCTGTTCATCCGCGGGGAGAACGTTGTGCTGGTTAACCCTCAGCCCCTGTGACCCCCCCGCCCCGTCCAGACAGACACTCATCACTCTGATGGGATCAGATTCTGCTGAATCCAGCTGGGACGCTGCAGTGTATCATATTGATATGGTGATTCTTCTCTGTGCATCAGAGGAACCGCTCCGCAGGGCCAGGAATTAAAGCTTTGCGCTTCAAACTCTGCTGCGGCTGCTATCCTCTTTTCTCCCTGCCCTCCCCGTGAAAGCCTGCGTTCTGGCTGCTGACCAGCAGGTGGCAGCATGAGCCCGCCCCAGCCTCCTCCCGGGCTATTGTCATCTCTTGTCCCTTTATGTTGCTTTTCCCGTCAGTTTGAACGGGGATGACAGCGCAGTCTCAGCGGACTTCATAAATGCATTATGAATAATTGAGTTTGTGAAGCTGGAGATTGCAGATGGCACTCAGAAGCTGTCATTTGTCTTGACGTCTCAGATTGCTTTTACTCTTTAATGGGCACATTACCCATAAAAGCACAGTTTACTGCATTTCATGGAAGTTGTAAAGATGGTTCTTTTTGTCCTCTTTAAATGGCAGTGGATGGTTGATGGGATGAAGAGTGGTACGGAATCACTGTTTTCATTTCTTACTTGATCTTCTCTTATGTGACCCTCTTTCCTCTTTATTTCATAAGTGGGACATATTTGCTGATTAGCTGAGCTTTAGTTCATCTACTGTATATACTCTTTCCTTTCATATAATGTATCAGAATATTATTAGTATAGCCCATTAACAGGCCTCTCCAGAGAGGCAAAAAATGGGGTCAATTGTTTAATGCAAGTTGTCTTCTGTGTTTGTCACACAAGTGTGTTCCAACAAACCTTGATACAAGCAAGGGCACGCCGCCGACAGTGAGGAAGATGAGCCGCAATTAGACCGCTCTCTCTGTCCTCCATGTGCGGCGTGAGGGAAATCAGGCCGTCCCTCTCAAGAGGAGGACCGCTGAGCTTCAACGCTTGAAGAATTGTTGAAGCGATGAGGTTGCAGCTTTTAACGGGCGGGAGAGTGGAGGTTTCTAACCACTTGTTCTGCTTCTGGAGCAGTGGCTCCTTCACCGGCAGCTCTCGTGCGATTCGCTGGCTGGACTCGTTGGCGACCTGGGCGGCGGCGGTGAGGGGGGGAGAGGGGATGCTCGACAGTTGTTCACCGAAGGCCGTTCTTTTATTGCTCCACACAGCGGAGTTAAATTCGCATTAAGTAAATGTAATTTCCACGCCAGGCGCGTTGGCTTTGCTTTTGCTGCTGGAAGCACTTTTGAATGAGTCTAATGACACACAGCCCACCAAATGACACACATCATTAACAAATTTCAATCAACTGTTTAATGTCATCCATAAAGAATCTTGATGTGTAAATCAAATCAGAATGGGAATAATGCAAAACTGAACTTTTTTTTTTTTTAATAATATATATACATTTGCATAAACTAGTGTTTCAATAACAATATAATTTTCGAGAGGCCCAGAATTAAAGTAGAAAACAAAATGCATTAAGAATTTCTACTGATATACATTAGAAAAAAAAGCAAACAGATTTTGGTCATTATAATGCTTCAGCCATCAATGCAGGGCTTCTGGGTGTTGGCGTGCTCAGCCTCTTCAGCCCTGAGGAGCGGACTAAAACAGCCCTAATCCTCCTCAGGACCCACTGCGCTCCTCAGTGAGTGATCTCACTGGTGACTTGTCAAATAGGTCCGCCCGCCAAGATTCAATTTTTGATTATCAATCACTCGTTACGAGGGTTGGGTGGCGAACGTCGGCAGGCACTTTAACCACTGAGGAGTCACACTGTGCACGTCTGACAGAAAATGTCTCTGGTGTCCACCCGACCAGCATCACCCCCCCTGCTCTCTCACACCGTCTGCGGTACCTGATAAACTGCAAAACGCAGATGGGTGATTCTTAAGGCAGTGCAGAAGTGTCCGGTTTGACGTGTTAACATGCATCCATGACAGAAAAAAGAAAGGCAGCGTCTAACAAGATGCACCGAGTAACAATAACCACACAGACAGAGGCACCTCACTACCCTTTAACAGTCTCAGTCAACGTTTGTGGAGCCGAATGATTAGGTCTGGTTAGCTTTTGTGCCTCTAGCTATCTCTGGCCTAAATGGACTGGAACCACACAAGGTGCACTGGATGAAAGAAAAAAAGAAAAGGGAAAAAAAAAAAAAGGCATTTAATGTGCTGCGTTTTCAGCAGACGGCACACTTGGCTTAAGACCCAGATACAAACAGAGTTTGTACGTAGTGCAGAAGCTCCTCCTCTGGCAGCTGTCTGCCCGCTCCCTCCGTCCCCTCCAGGCTGGCTGAAGACAGGAGCAGCGGCCTTTCAGGCACTGTGTGCTGTAAGGGAGAGCCCACAACCCCGCTAAAGGCTCCTCCCACTGATTATCGTTTGGACGCAAAGTGTTTATAGCATTCTTCATAGATACAATATGTGTTTTCCCAACAGGAAAGGCCACAATGATGGAGTATTGGGAGGGGGTGAAATAAACAAATAACTAACCCAGCTGTAACGTTTACAGCCACATTTGAAGCAAGGACACTTATGTACAAAGACCAAGCATCATTATAGATCTTAATTAATATCAGATTTGATCTGTGTGACGCAGACACAGCCTCTCATATATGGACTTTATAACTTATGGTAAAGGCTTCAGATTTCTATTTACAGCTGAGAGGAAGACAAAGGACTCAATTTTAAAAATAGAAAAAGAGGTAAGTTGACATTCAGTAATGGATTTTAGGAAGGTAAAATAGCTGATCTTATGAAAATTCATCATTAGATAAAGTTATTGACAAAGAACTTTACCCAAGATAAAAAAAATGCTGCTACCGATTTGTTTTTTTTGTGTTTCTTTTTTAAACTATTCTGGCAATTTTACTTATGAGTTATGAAGCAAAATCCCCCCTAACATGTTTTCAATGGTGCTTTTTATCCAACAGACGTTGAGAAAACACATCACGTGTGTATAAGCACCATCCCAGACTGCATACATCATTGGTTCAATCTACACATTCATTTAGATTCATTTCACTATTTAAAAAGAACAAAAAAGGAAGAAAAAACGAAACAGAGAAAGACATGGGTTCTTTCTTTTTTCGATGGGGTGGGGGGGGGCCGACATAATTCAAGGAGTCTTTGTTTGCATCTCATGGCAATCCTTCGCCGATTGGACGGCAAGAGACTCTTCCTGCTGCGGATTACCTCTGCTCTCCGCTTCCTTCACTTTCCAAAGTTGCCAAAGTCAGCAAAGGCATCGTGTTTGGGCTGCTGGACCATAGCAGGGCTCATCCCCATCCCCATGGCACCAGGCATCCCCATGGTCATACCACCCTGTGGCATCCCCATGGGCATACCCCCCTGTGGCATCCCCATGTTCATGCCCATCCCCATCATGGCCGGATTAGGAGCCATGCCCATTCCCGTACCAGGGTGCATCATGGGATTAGCAGGTGGTCTGACAGCTGAAGGTCCGAGACTCATACTGGAAAATCCCTGCAGGAGCATGTTGGCAGGTACTTGATTGCCTGAGGATGAAAGAAAATATAATGAATGGAGGAGACAAATATGCCAAAAAAAAAAAAAAAAGCTTAAGTTAGTTGCTGCCTATGTGACCTTGTTGGAGGGTGTTGAGACTGGGCTGGTTCGGCTTTGGGGGCTGCATGCCAGGCCCCAGGAAGTCCAGGCTGATGTTCACTGAATGATCTGACCAGGTGGAGGGCAGAGATGCTTTGGCTCCTGCACCCTGAGAGGCCACCCCCTGCTGCACGGGCTGTGGCTGTAGGGGGCCCCCGATGTTCTGCAGGGGCCGGACAAACATAGGATATCAACAACAAAACAGCCACATCATGCACTTACTACACATAAAAGCAGCAGTTCTTTTTCAATTTTGTTTCTCAATATACAAAGTGGGGGAAATAATTAAAAAAGAGGGAGAAGAGGTAGGTGTCATCTCAGTAAAACAAAGACAGCTTTTCCCCTTCTTTTTAAGTAGGTCAACAACCTTTTATCGTGAAAATTCAGTCAACATATGTAAGCTTTAGTGGGGGTTTTTAATGTTTTTGGGAATCACATCTCATTCTTTTCATTCTGTGTCAGCAGCAGGAGGAGAGGGTGGTAAGTGGGTGGTCTCTTGGGGAAATGAGCATCTGGTTAGGCTGCCTGTTAACACTCAGCCATGATACTTGTCCTCTGTCTTTTAGTCACAAAAGGATGTCTCTATCAAACAGCCTGGCAGACCGATATGGTCACTGGCGAGCGAATATTGAAGGAAAGTGTATCAGTGAGGAAAAAGAAGAATAAGTTGGTGTTTGCCATTTTCTACTTAAGTCATAATTGCTAAATGGGAAATTGTTATGACTTCCAAGAAACGTGCTGTGAAGCACTTAAATTGATCGGCCGCAACATAACCACTGAGAAGTAAAAGTGATGCTGCTCGTCCTGTCAAAATGTAGAAGAATTGGAATCCTGGCATTCAGGAGGAGGGCATAAACCGGCATTCGAAACTATCTAAAAGATTCTAATCATAGATACATAGAATTACATATATTACTGATCGTAAGATGTGTGACAGTGCATTAATTTAGAGGCTTTTGCGAACATTTCAGCAGATTTAAGCCGGTTTATTCATTTCTGTCTAAATGGGCCATTAGTTAAAGTAACACATCTTATTGTTGCAGACTGTATTTATGCTCAGCAATTCAGCAACAGATTGTTTTTGTTCTGACAGAACCAATTGTATCAATTCAAAACACAGTCCACTTACACAAACATTACTTTCAATGGTCAACAGCAACAGGTGACAACAGGGGGCTGGTACTTTATCAAGGCATGCATGCATCATAGCGAATTTTGTAATGATGTTGGGAGAAAGCAGCTCAACCTGTTCTTGTTTGTGACCAACCCCCGGTTCCTTCATGACCTTGGGATTTATCACATGCCTTTCTCTCTGAACGATGTCCGGCTGGACATTAATGGAGTCTAAACTCCTCAGAGTTGCTTCTCCAAAGCCTTTCCTGCCTAATCAGGATCTTTCTCTCTTTAACTAGCCATCTGTTTGTATTAAAGCTTTCATGTTGAAACATTTGAGTTCATTATTCTCCCCCAGCTAAGATCATGACCAGTTACTGTTGTCTCTCAGTTAAGTCCCATGGATAGCACATGTTATGATAGAGCCATCTGTAAGGCCAGTTTTAAGACCTGCTCGCTTCAAAATATGTTCCACACAAGCGGTTTCTCCTGGAATGATGATAAATGATTAACCCTTTTCTCTTGTTTAGTCATTTCCTTGTATTCCTTTACAGTACCCTGAGTATGACTGTCCTTTATACGCTCCACTCTTTTGGAGTTATAGCTCACACCATTTTACAACCCTTCACAATCACTATTTGTGTGTAATTCATGAGAGGAAAAAACACTTCCATAAAAGTTAATAATGACAAAAACTGACTCTTAAATTTTCTGTAGAGGTATTGGCATGAAAAGGTAATGTGGCCAACATAGTGGTGCAGTAGAAAACGTGCTCTGTGACAGTCAGAGCTTTGTCCTACATGTTTAATTGGGTTCTCGGTATATTTGACACTGGCGGATTTATTTATTTATTCCCCAATGCATTAAACACTATTTCCATGAACAGCATTTGCTATATGATCAAATTTATACCTATATTCCATTTATGACCAGTACACTTGTAAGTCTTTTAAAGCTATCTATATAGATAAATAATTTACAAAAAAAAAACAATGCCAGTGGATGTGTGCAATCATGCATACCTGTGACTTGGACTGGGGCAGTACGGTGGTGCTCATGCTCTGTGTGCTGCTCATGCTGAAGTTTAGGCTCTGGGAGGAGGTGAGTGACTGAGCCGGGCCCATCAGGTCAAACAGGTCTGCCGAGGCGGGACCAGGAGCTCCAGCTGGGACTGTGGCGGGGGCAGTGGGAGCGGCAGAACCTGCTGCGAAGCCTCCAAACAGCTCGCCTCCACTGACATCCAAAGCCTGAGCAGATACTGGCATTTGACCTCCAGGAAAGGCATTCCATTCTCCAAAGTCTCCATTGGTGCTTGAGGACGGTGCTGCGGGAACATGAAAAACACACAGACACACATTCAGGGATCTTCAGGGCTCTACAGCTAACTGAAGATTCACACAAGTTATGCAAACAAATCTGAGTCTGTCATGGAAAGAAAGACTTAAGCAGAATATTGTGAGGAGAGGAGCTTAATCCATGACATTCTGAAAGACCACTTGTGCTGCGCTTTAAATTTTCATAGAACTAGCCCAGCTTGTTGTCTCTTTTCCTCACTCAGAGCTTCCTCCACCCCCAACTTCTTCTGTCCCTGTCTCCTTGTCATCCATAACAGGAGTTGATGTGTGTCTGTTCTTATTATGCAGAGCAGGTAGCAGACTCCATATGGCCAGAGCTCCCTCCCAGCATCCCTCTGAATATTCTAGCAGTACGGCTGCAACAGGACAGCAACACACACACACACACATGTGGGAAAAAAGAAAAAAAAAAATCTTAAAACCTACCAGATCCTGACGGCAGTCCGGCAGAGGCAGAGTGCGATGTGAAGTCAGCAAATCCCCCAATCAGGTCTGGGTTGACAGACAAACACAAAATAAACAGGTCCCTTTTACACACGTGAACTCCAGGTGTCATTCTTACATAGTTAGCATTCTATCAGTCTGAGAGGTGTAGGATGGAGGGGAGGGGTGGAAGCAATGGATCAGTGGAGGAGGCCAAACATCTGTTCAATGCCTCCACCCTCTCTATCCACAAGGAGCGCACCCCCCCAAAAAAAGAACAAGAAAAAAAAACAAACATCTGGTGTACTTGGTGTTTACATCAACTCCCTCCTACTGCTGTTCACAAAATTTGAAGCTTGTATCAGCAGGTGGTAAAAGTCCCTTCTAACAGAGCTTAGTGTGTGCCTGGAACTACTGTGGAGTGTCTTCAACTTTCCAACCATCCGACCTTTGACCTATCAGCCTGTTGAAACTACAGAAATGCCAACTGACCACCGTATCCTCCTAAAACTGACAACAGGTGAAACTGTCAGAGTATTAGAAGAATGCAGTTAAAGGGCACCTGTGGAGGCAGGCTGACTGGGTGTGGTGTCCACCATCAGTAAGTCAGCCAGCCCTGTGCTGGAGGGCTGCGAGGCTGCTGCTGCTGGCTGCGTCTGGAAGGAACAGAACAAAGTAAATCAGAACACAGGCCAGACCGGAGCGACATCAATCCAGCCTTATCTCAGAGCTCTACCTGTTTGGCAGAGGTGTTGGGGCTCACGTCTCCTGTGTAGTTAGCTGCGGCCCCCAGGTCGACCTTTTTGGACGGGGCTCCTCTTTTCCGAGTTGCTGTCGTTTCTGTTGCTTGGACAATTTGTACACTCTTGGTGGTAACAGTCTCTTCTTCGTCTTTGAACTCTTTTCCCGACTGGCCGTTGCGAAACGAGCGATCCCGGTCCTCCTCGTTGTCACTGCAGAGAAAATTTTACTTAAACCGGTAAAATGAACCAGTGTGGCTTTCAGTCCATGGAATGTTTTTCAGGTTAGATTGACAGGTTTAAAGCTCTGAAACTGTCACGTTTCATTCCTTTTTTGCAAGATTATTGTCAATTTTTGAGAAACTCTTTTTTTTCTTCATTTTTCCAAACATAGTTTGTCGCTGTTATGTGCGTCTGCTCTCACCTGAACCGATCAGGGGAGTCATCCCTGTCTTTCTTTCTGATCTTACTGATGGTATCGTCAATGGTGTTGCTAATTTTGCCACTGATCTCCCCCAGCTTTTCACTGAAAGGAAATGGCCCTTTGCTCTTGTCCCAGTCGTCATCCCACTTGGGCCGGCTATCATTCGAGTCGTACCTGTCTCTTGCTAAAAAGAAGAAACCAAGTTGAAAACATGAGATAAAGGAATGAAGCTTTTAACTTGTATATTCTTTATTCTATACAGCGTTCAATTGACAACACAGTCACAAACATCACGGTAAACTTTTTGCAAGGACACAAATATCTTTAAAATTCAGAAAACAGACCAGTTGGCTACCATAACTTACAGTAAGATCGGTATCCCATACTGTCAGAGGGCACACCAATGTATTTGTCTTTGTTTTCTTTTGCCTTCTTCCGTTCTTTCCGAAGCCTCTCATCATCCTGAACAAACTCCACCAGCTCCTTCACCTTCAGGCGAACATTCACTCCCTGGTCCTTCCCATTCTCATCTACAGATAGAGATTAGGACCAAACAAAAAGAAGAAAATAGTCATATTTAGAAAAAGTTCAATAAACAAATGAATATCTAGCTAAAAAGAATACTGACAGTATTAGCACCTTAAATACACACATCCTTGGTAGAGTGAAAGCAGCTTAAGAGAAGGTGGTGTGTGTGTGTGTGTGTGTGTGTGTGTGTGTTTTAAGGGTTTGTGGATTAAGCAGTTCTCAGCACCTTCATGCATTAATTACAGCCAACACTAAAACTATTGTCGACACATACTGAGCAACAGTGCTGATGTGCACAGAACTCTTCATCTAATGAAAATAAAATGGATCAGAATGATACCTTACCTACAAAGTGATAACTTTCCAATGATCTCAGGTCATACAGGTGCTCTCTGGTGCTGGTTACAACCCTCTCAGATCCATTCCTGATTAGATGTGCCAGCAGTAACAGTGACTGAGACAAAGAAAAATAAATGCAGTTAGAGCAAAATGTGTTTGATAAAGAAAATTGATTCTTCTTCTTAGACGGTTGAACTTAAGCCCTATTTTAGGCTCAGTGAAAACTGTACTAAGTCCTTTGGCCTTTGAGCTTTGTGTCATTATGAATCGTGTGTGTTTGTGGGGGTTTGCAATATCGCGTGGCAGACCTTGTAGACTCTCCTCCAATTTTTCTTGTTGTCCCTCAGCATTCGGGCCCACAGCATGTTCATGACTTCTGGGAACTGCTCATACATGAAGGTGGCTCTGTTTATACAAACATTAACAAATCAAGCCGAGCCAGACATTGTGCCTAACAAAAACTTACATTATCAATGCACGGTAATGAACAATTAAACCCCTCTAAGTTTAATCAAAGTCTTTACTCTGCAATAATCTGAGGATCAAAAACTAATAAATAAATACATTTAATGTACGACTCGATACTTAATGCATTTGTCTTTGCATTTCACACCCAGAGTCGCAAGGATTAGAGAAATGAGAACCCAAAAGGATTAAATGTGGCCATAAATATACAAGTCTGTAAAGTGCTGTACATTTTGGAGGATCAGATCTTTTTAGTTGTGTTTACATTTCGCTGCAGAGTGACTAATACCGTGATTAATGTTGAAAGGATATTTAAACACTGACGTAAAAGTAAGTTATGGGAATAACACAGAAATAATAGCTATCTTATATTTTGCATGATGTGCACAGAATATAGCAGAAACAAAACAAATCAAAAAGATAAAAGATGAATGAAAAAAGTGCAGAGATCTTCATTTAGACCACAAAAAATTATCATTTTCTACATTTAAAAGATTTCTACATTAATGACAAATGAACTACAATTAATAGAAGCAACACTAAAATAATATTACTGATGACAACTGAAAGTTTTGCTGTTTTCACAAAACATTCTTATACATTCATAGGAAATGTTGGACCAATCTAAAAGAACATATGATGGTGAGATCCGGGTCAGAGGACAAAATAGAAAGCAACGACTTTCAAGAGGTTTCTCTCTCCCCCTGCATTTAGCGTTAATCCAAATGAGATTAATTATTCCTCAAGTCAAGACAGATGATGAGTTAAGTTTATGTCACCCTGCGCAACTAAAAATAAATTTTGGAAACAGCACAACTATTTCCCATCTACTTTATAAGCCAATAATGAATGGACAAACAGGGCTTATGGCATTCTGAATACTTGTGCTGAGCACATGTAGCAATCATGAGACCTGCCTTTAGTCCAGCCAAAATTGCTAGATGTACTAGTTTCAAGCTGGCAGAGAAACACTACATATTAAAAACAGCATGTTTTTTTCAGAGTGCAATCCAAAAATTATATGGTTGACCCAAGTTAAAGGATGTTTTTGTCCATTAAAAAAAAAGAAGTAAAAATGAGCGTAAATAAAACTTGGAAATGTAAATGTAAGAGCCTTCATTTGTTTCTGTAGTCTTGTTTTAGTTTACAATTACAGTGTCCTGCTTTGTTCACTGTTCTCCTTACCTAGAAATTTCACTCATTAGCTGTCCCGATGGTCCCCAAGGGTCATCATTGGTGGCCTCTCTGACTTTAGACTCCACCTCCGAGTAGTTCATCACCACATTGGTCCTGTAGAAAAAAAGATTAAAAACTTTATTGTTCAGTGTGTGTCCCCAGTGAGACCAGCAACATGGACAAAGAAAGGATAAAAGCTGCTTTTATGACCACCACACCCATGCGCCTGATCCTTTAAGACCTAAAATAACAATAAGGAGCTCACACAAAAACACAAACAAGGGCAAAACAAGCAAATGCAAATATACATTAAAAAAATGCTTCAATGAAAGTTAAAATGGTGCAGAGCATGGTGGGCGGTGCTGTGCATCAGCTCTTTCCTGCTGACACTCTGAGAAAGCAACTACAAACGAAAAGAGGAACTTAATTTTTAACAATACAAGCATTCTAACAATTTAAGCAAACAAAGATATGGTATATAAACTCAGCACTCTCCATTTTACAAATGATTATGAACCAGATTTGCAAACACATTTCAAATAATCTTAAAATCAAACCGTAAATAAAGGTTGCCATATAATGCAAACACGGATTCTGCTACTTGGCGTACACTAAGGGCTCCCACACATTCACATTACCAATCAACACTAAATCTCAGCCAATAAAATAATGTGCATTAAATATCAATTTATAAAATATGTGCAAAGGTTGAGAAATACAAGGGACTTTCTGGAAAATCATACTGCAGTTACATCAATGATGTATTACTACTTATGCTGTGCTATTGTCTGCTTATATGGCCAATTAACTTTACTCAGAGATGAGACGTTTGTAGAAGTATAATCAAAAATCAAAGAAATCTTCTTTCATCATGCACTTGCACAACTTTATCCGTGGCTAGAAAAACAGGAAATTTGCAAATTGAACTCATCATGCCTCTCCAACTGTAAAAGTAAGAAAAAGTAAAGTAGGAGCTTTTTGCAGTTATGTCTACAAGCTGTAATACGACTTAACACTACAAGACTACAAATACCAGTTCTACTGACTGATCTATTCCAATTTGTTTTGGGCCAACAGTAACATCTGAAAGATTTACAGAAAGTCAGAGCCAACCAATGATTAGAACACGATTCACAAAGCCCAGTAATAATCCAACTCTGGGTTGTCTAGAAAAATGGAGTGGCTCTGTTCTATTTATCTGAGTTTCTCTAGAAACAGCTGGGATATAGAGATGTTCTCTGCATGAGGGACAGCACAGCGCTAGAAGACAAGATGGAGTGATGCAACATTTTCACTCCTCACAAAGGTGGCTGCTTATCAGTTAGATAAAACGGAAGCTGTGATACTCTCACAGCAACACAGGTTTCCGCTGCCATAGTGCTGTGTCAAAACGTTCCCCATGTAAATGAACTCAAGTACATCTCATGAATCAATTTTAGTTCAATCACACAACAGGAATTCTGCACAATGTTAAATTCAGTTCTGGTGTAAGTGGTGTGAGTCTGGTGATGTTTCATGAAAACATAGAGCTCTTACAACAAAGCCATTTAAATTAACAGATAAATCAAATAATACAGAAAAAGTTAGCAGGTGAACAGCCAAACGTTTCCCCCGTTTCTCATTATATGGCATCTTGTGAGAAAATAAACACCTACGGAAAAAGGTCACTCTCCAGGGAGACAAGTGCCTCCACAGGACCACAATCCTGAGTAGATTCTAACATTCCACTGTCTGGGTTTGGGAGCAAAAAAACATTAAAGCTATGAAGGGAGAAAGATTGTGCAATAACCTTGCACGGCCCCGCAGTATACCACAGTATGTTTCAGTTTAGTCAGCTGCTTAGAGTAAACCGACACACAAAAGACGACAAAAAGGTGCAGCAACCAGGCATTCACCACCTTTAGTGCTTACGGACAAAAAGGTTCAGGTACTAAATTGATAGCCATCAGATTACTGGTGTGTCTAATGCTTTAAACAAATGATGAAACCACTCACAAGAAGTGTACAACAGACAAAAGGGTTGAGAGTGTGTTATTTGCATGCCTTTGATAATTTGTTTTACAGTTTGTAAGACATCACATGAAGTCCATCGTTATAAATTTGAACCAATATCAGCTTGAAAGGTAAATCATACTAAAGTAGAAATTTGACAAAGCTATGAGTACATAAACAGGACTGAGAACAGCTAAAAAACTATTGGTTCAGGTTCACTATTGGTACAGTAAATCATTATCCGAAGACACCCTTACTGCGTGATAAATTATAACATTAAAAAGGAGGGGTGTTCAAGGTTTAATGTGTAATGAGGTACGCTTTCAACAAACTTTTTCACAGTCCATTTCTGCTTGTTCTATTTGATGAACAAGTCTTTTTTTTGTTGGGTTTAAAGATTGCTGTTATCCAGCTACGGGCTGTAACTTTGTGACAAACAGCTACCATAACTTACAGTAGAGCTACTGTAACGTGAATGTGACTTAGCTACAAGTGTTCGAACACACCGCAAACTGATCCAAAACACAACAACTATGTACTTGAACATATTTCCCGGGAGAAGTAGCCAAACATCGAATGAATAACATGTATTTTAAATCCTGAGCATTCCCTGTTGGGTATTCATTCGAAGGGCTGTCAAACTTGCTTAGCTAACTAGCCAAGGGCGCTAGCTACACAGCATTTTAGCTAAGAGAGTTAGCTTGCACTGTTGGACTAATTAAAAGAAAGACACTCTTATACATCTTCTAACATTACAAATACCATAGAGGACAAGCGAAAAGACCGAAAAACGACTATTATAAATATGAGATTTTCATATTGAAACATAAAGTATTAGTGAAAAGCAAGCTGCCTTGTTGTTAGCTTCCAAACTAGCTAACTTGTTAGAGTGACGTGACGTCAAAGTTTTGGGTACGTGTCTTTTTTAAACAGGTAAATTACAGGCACAAATGACACAAAATTGAAAACGTTCAATCAGATAATACTCACGCTTTGTCAACCAACTCCCTGACTTTCCACATGTTAATCATCTTGGCAGTGTAAAAAGGGGCTTACTACCTCTGTAAAACCCTTTACTCCAAACGAGCACCGAAACCAAACCTTGAACTCTGGAAAGTAAACTATTTTTTCACCTCCCTTTCAAGACAGGAGGCGCAAACGCACCACCAGACAGACAGGAAAGGTTACTGCGGTAAATGCCCTCGTAACGTCATCAAAACTGCGTAGAGCAGCATTGTAGTTGTAGTTTATTGTTCGTGTTTAGGTACCACCATTGATACTGTAAGTACATTAATCTAATCTCTCTATAAAGAGGTCATCGACGATGAGTCTCCAGACTGCGTAACCTTGTGGTGAAAGATTAGGGAGAGATTAGACCACAGGGAAAAATGTCAGAAGAAAGACAAAACTGGAGCTAGAGTATTTAAACCAGAATCCTCAGACGAGGGTTTATTGAATGAGACTATTTTCTTGAGAACCCATTCCAGTCCTGCCATTAACTCGGTATTAGAACAGGGAGGAGGAAACTGATTCCTAAAATCCACTCTTTAGTTTAAACCAAAACATTTTTTGTTTGATTTATTCATTTATTTTCATGTATTCTTGGTAGATTCTATCGACTTTAATGCCGCTATGGAATTTATTCAGCTGATCAAGATCCTTACAGATATATAATTCCGAATTACATCTTTGAATATTAAGTTTAGTCTTAACAGTACAAAGTTTTTCCCAAAAAATGTATCTCCTAAAAAAAAATAATAATAATTCTCCAGCAGCCCATCAGCAACTGAACATGAAAAATTGAATAAATCTAAAAAATAAGGAAAATAAAAGAAGGAAACAATTAACAATAATACTCATAATAATAATTAGGGTTTGTATTTTGGAAAATTATTTCTCATTCACATACAGCATCTGAATAATTAGCAAAGGCTCCCCAGTTTCTAGTGTTCTCCAGCATAAATACAGTATGTTTGGGCTCTTTCCTTTACTTTAGCTTCCTTCCACTGTCTACAATAATAAAGTATTTGTCTCTAAACTGATTCTAAGAATGAGTATGCATGGTTATCTCTTAATATTAAAGTTTATTAAATTGCACATGTTTTTTCAAACTTACCTGCAATGATACAATGTACAGCCATTTTTTATAGCATTTAAATGTTCTATTCAACACTATTCAACTTCCCCTTCAGACAGTGTATTACACATTGATGAAATCACTCCTTTTTTTTCCCACCAAATTTCTTCCACAGAGCTATGGCCAAAATCATTGTCAGCAGGTCACCATCCCATCTCGCCATCCCTCCTCATCTGGCATTCAGGCATGCTACAGTGACCCAGTGATGCTGTGTGACAGGCCGGGCAGGGCAGTAGCTGTTTGTGTCAATCCAGATCAATCACTCCCTCTTCTGGACGGACAACGTCATCAACGCACAGAAAGGTCACAGGGTGTACTCAAGCCAGGCCTGATGTGGCGAGCAGGGAGGTCAGCGTAGCAGCCGAACACCCTTGAATGGCTGAGTGTCATATTAGATACACACACGGTTGGCTTGTGAATTGGATCAATCGGTGTTCAGAGGTTGATTTTTTTCCCTCAACAGAAAGATGAAATGAGTTGTGATGGTCATTTTATTTATTTATTTCCTGTTGTCTCCTGTGACTTGGTCTGTGCAAAAAGTATTAAGACTCTTTGTTCTATTGATTGATAGTCCGGGGGGTATGATAAGCCCTCACATGCCCTACATTTACCAGGGTTTCTATTCTCTAATGATTCATGTAAATATGGCCCACTGCTTACACTTCTATTGGAGAGTAGGAAGAAACAACACAATAGCCAAAATACAACCCATTTGAGGAAAAAACAACAAGAAACAGCACTTAACAGCCCAGAATGCACTGCACCCACGGGAGCAACCTCAATTACTGTTACACGTCCGAAAAGAAGAACTCTTGGAGAAGTGATTGCCTAGATGGAAATGGCTGCGTGTGTGTGCGTGCTTGTGCATGTGTTAGTGTGTTTTTGTGTGTGGATTGAAAGAGGATGGATAGAAAAGCACTCAGTAAAAAGATCTTTCAGGAACACTTTGCCTCCGTGACGTTGACGCGAGCTGTTGATTGACATGCACTTCTCGACAGAAACCAGAGCTATCATCCTATCTGCCGCGCATTAGGAATGGTACAGTCCTCAGGGAGGGGCCTAAGTGGTAAATGATGTTGCTCAAGACACTCTCTGTCAACAACGTGTGTGTATTTGTGAGTATCTGAGTGCTGAGGATGGCAAAGCATTCAATCAAGGTTTTGATTGAAAACCCTTGTGTCCTTAAAGATCAGAATTGTGTACACTGATGTGGAGTATTCGCAAATTTCTATGTGTGTGTGTGGGGGGGGGGGGGGGGGGGGGGGGCTGGGGTAGGGCATCTGTAAATACAGTAAAATTCTATTCAGTCACATGAAAAAGCAGAAATGTCGGAGGGCTTAACTGATGAAATCTGATCTCAAATTATATTGATGCAGTAAAATTGGTTTGTAAAAGAAGGTTTAGTATTTGTGAAGAAAGACGAGAAAACATTTCCTGTAACACTTTACAGAGATCCGAATACTCTCTTTGCATGTGGGAAAAGTGTCTGCCTTTACTAGATATTTCATGTTCTGTAATCAGATTCAATTCATCATTTTCCCCATCAATTGATAGTCATTTTGGTCTACTGAGACCAAGTTGTCAGGAACAACTTTCCAGTCGCGGGAGATGAAATACAGAGGAGATACCTGTGATGTAGTGGCAGCAGACGCAGCACTAGGTGGCACTGTGACTTTTCTAGTACCTGGGACTGCTGAGAGTCACAAAAGGGTGAATGTGTGAAGCATCTGTACAGAAGTGTGTGTGTGTGTCCGTGGCTTGGGGTTGTGGCTGTGTGTTTACATGGCTGAAGTTCCCATGACAAATGTGGTCAGAAAATCATTTTGATCTGGGAATGTCCATGAAAAAAAGATGTCGCTTCTATAGCGCTGCCTTTATTCTATCTTTACAAACATGTGCTTCCAATTTATTAGACTCAAACTCTGCACTCTCTTTATCCCTCTGTCTTTCTGTTTTTTTGCCATTTTATAATGTCATTACAAAACAATGCTCTTTGTTTTGCACATTAGCTATGAATCAACCGTCCCGCCCATCTTTGTGCTTACTTGCAGAAGAGTTTCTGATCTGTGGAATCACTTGCTGGGGCCCAGTTTTCCTCCTGTCAGTGCAAGGATTCTTTCACTGCTGTTATATTTCAGGCTGTTATTGTTGGCCCTCTTTCAACCCCAGTAAGATCTTTAGTCCTTTTCCCAAGCGATATAACCCCCACACACATCACACAGTATCTGACCCCTGTCTCCATGACACATGACAGGTCCACTGCGGAGAGTGCGTGTGGGCATGTGAGCAGGGAATGATAGCTTGGGTGTGTGCTTTTATGTGTGCGTTTGCTTTCACGTAAACGGGCAAGTGTGTGTGCAAATATACTGGGCATATCTGGCACAGTGTGTAGGCATTGAATATGCTTAAACAACGAGGCCACTTGTCACATGTTCAAAGTCGTGCAGACAGCCCGCTGTGATCTCAAGCCACACACACAGATGTTCCTAATGGGGCTAAAGTAGCATTCACATTCCTGTGGATAACCAGTCTGTTTATTTTTCTCTCTAAACCGGAGTGGATTGCCACTTTCCCTGGTGAGAAAAAGGAAGAACGATGATAAAAAAAATAAAGAAAATAGTGAGGACGCCGATGAGAAGGCTTGCACCACAGTTTAGACCTCCAAAGCCTACTGTCAGTACCTCTTAACCGGCAAACCTCAACTGTGGTGATTTAAGGGTGGCAGTAATGTAGTGTGTAATGGAAGTGAATGCCAGAGTGCGATTCTTTATATGTTAAAAATCGTAGCTATCTTATTCCTCGAAATGAGAGAATGAGTTTGGAATAATCGTGACAGGTTATACTTATGGACCAGCGTGTTGCAGTAAATCCGGTGTCTTTACACATGGAAGCCAACCGCATGCACACTAAGAAACCCACACAGGTATGCTCAAGTCCATGAGAGCATCTGCTCCTTTACAGCCAGATTGAATTAGCAATTACAGAGAGTAAAAACCAGAACAAAACATCTGGAGCTGTAAGCAGCAGAGGTTATAAATCTGAGGTTGTGGGGGGGTGGGGGGGTATGAAAATGAGCCAAAGTGAGATTCTCAAGGACAGTGTCTCTGATTGGCCCATTAACATGCCAGGGGTGTCAAAAAGGACCTGAGGCAATGGGAGAAATGGGACAGAGCAGAGGGCTTTGGAGGGCATACAGAACACCATTGAATGGAGAGGCAGAGTGCACGGTGGAGAGTCCTCCTCTGGAGGAGTGAAATACTTTATTTGTAATGAAAACACAACCAAAGACAAATTTATTGTTCATGTCCAGAAAGGCTGTTTGTGTGTTGGGTGGTGGTTGAGGGGGGTTAAGGATTAACTATGGCCAAAGATCGTCATTTTGCCAACCCACAAGCAGACTTGTTTGGACAAAAGTGCTGGGTGGGTGTTCATAAATGTATTTTAACTAATATCCATACAAATGTAAGTTTGGAAAGCCACAGTACCATTACCACATCTGTTTTTGCTATCATTGGCACAATAAATTACGTAGGCAATTTGTTTGCGCTGTTGTTAGAGTAATAGAATCAAATTATTCTATGTTAGGGAAATGATTATGTACGAAGCGGAACCCATCAGGGATTCCCAAGGCAATCAGTGAAATAAGACAGAGCTGAAATCTTGGCGCTCTGCACTTCAACTGTTCCAGGCCTGCTTGCGTCATCTCTGAAAACTATCTCGACCCAGGTCTGAAGAAAACTGCAAGTGCTTCACATTGAAATACTTCACCTACTAATCTGTCAGTGCTATGAGTGCTAAGTCAGTGCAGAGCCCCAGAGGTTGCAGCAGCAGTAAATCTCCCGGCTCGCATCGGTCCAGCGGATACACATGAAGCGAGGAATGTGATAGGATGTCCAGAACTGAAAGAGCCTGACACATGCAAAATGAGAATTTCTTGGAATGAAGGACATTATCAAATGAGCTTTATCAATTAAAAGCCAGGAAGCAGTGTTTACAATCCCATTCTGTGGCGAAACACTGGTGGATATTTCAAATGGGTCAAGGTTGAAGGGAAAACAAAAGTTAGTCGATTAGCAGTCGAGGTGCAACACTCCTAATTTGTATGCTAATCTGGCAGATCATCATATCATGTAGGTTCTGCCTGCGATTCTACATCTGCACGCACTCATTTAATTATCCAAACACAATTCACAAAAGTCATTGGAAACAAACCAAACCAAAATAAAGTAATTTGCATATATTTAAAAGAGCAGATAAAGTCCCTTGGGGTTGGTTAATATTTCAGAGGCATAATAATAATATGCTAAATCATTCACATTCTATCCTGCACCAAAACAAAGTAGCATTGTCGATGTAATTAGGGTGTTTTAGAGTTGAATCACCCTGGCAAATGACCATGTTTTTCTTTCTGGAAGACCAGTGTGTGTATGTATGTACGTTTCTCCCCCCCCCATATCTGTGTCTATGTGTGAGAGCTTGCGCTGCATTGTCAATGTTCCTCCATGTGCACACAGTCTTAGAAAAGGATTGATTAAAGAGAGAGTGTCTGTCTCAGAGCAGTTAATGAGGTTTAGTCCCATGAGCTGCAAGGTTTGAGTGTGTGTGAGTGCATGCAAGTGTGTGTTTGCGCAGGAGTGTGTAGACCTATCGGAAGATGTTGTTAATTGGCTAAGACTTACTTTCAGCAGGGGGATAGTCAAGGGCACAGTGCTTCCACATTTTTGGAGTGTCATTTGTAGAACACGGTGATACATTAACTTTCTATATTAAACAATATTTTCAGGGAATGATGAGTCAGGAGAGTGCTGACATGAAGAAGCATGATTGTAATTAAACTTAAAGTTTTGTACATTTGTATTTATGTTTAATTTGCATTTAAAACATTTTTCTTTGATTAAAATACTGGTACAATGCAGTTTTACTGTTTGGTGTCACGGGAGTGCATCTGGAAATGTGAATGGAATTAATCCCTTTTGCTCTCATGGGACAAACTGAAGGAGAGGAAAGGGAAAAAAGAAAAAGAAGCAAAAAAGGAAAAAGCAGAAGAAAACGATCTGCAGAGAGGATGATAGAGAAGCGGGACAGAGAGGCAAAGGCAGTGAGAAAAAAGGCCGGGATGGATACAGACTCACCTGCTTGTCTCCATACAGAGCTGTCCATCTACATGTACATGCAGACCTGCGTGTTCTCTTGCAGTGCAACACACAGCCCATCTTGAATAGCAGGAAGCACTGATGCTTTCATGCCAAGCACAGCCCAAAGTAGAGCAAGATCACAATGTGTGTGTTGTGTGTGCGTGTGTG